TACAGCGCTGGATGCTGAGGCGGCGGGAGTCCCCGGGGCTCTGACTGGCAGCGGCCGCTGCGTTGTTGCTCTCGTCATCCAGGCCCAGGCCCAGCTTCTCCATCTTGTGTTCATGGCCCTTAGTGTTATAGCAGGTGATACACAGGTCATAGTCCTCGCAGACGGTGCAGTGGAAGCGTGTCTCCACGCTTGCCTTGCACTCGTTGCAGGTGTAGACGAAGCGGTCCTGGCTCTGATTGTGTAGCTCCACCAGCATGCACATGGAGCTCCACTTGGCCCTCCTCAGGGAGGAGAACTCCAGGTGCTTGTCCCTGGCCAGAGTCAGGAAGGCATCACGCCCGTCCATCAGGTCACAGGCCATTAGGGGGTCTGGGTCCGTTATGGGGGGCAGGGAGTTGGCAGTGGGGCCGGCGATGAGACGGATCACAAAGAACACCTGTAGGGTGCAGAGAAGAAAGGATGAGCACTGGGACTGACAGTTTGTGTTGTGGCTTTATTTAGAAGGTTGTGACAGGATCAACTACCTCCTTGTGTTTCTCCATAGAAGCGTAGAGCTTCTGGGAGAGGTCATTGGACACATTGGGCATCCCTGGTTTCTTCTTATTGGCTCGGATCAGGCTGCTGTTCTTGTTCTTGCTTGTCTTCTTACTGTTCTTCTTTTTGGCATTCTTGCTGTCACTTTTCGGGGCCTGTGTGTGGAGAACACCAGATTAAAATCGACTCCAATACATTCCATCCCTATTAAAGCACTGAATCTGACGCAGCCTCGAAATTGACCCAATTCGCAATGGTTCAATATCTCTCCTCCTGAGCAATACTTTTTAACAACAAACAGCTACTCCTATCATGTTACTATTGAGGACAAACAACCAATATCCCACACCCCAGATCCTATAACATATTCACAAACACACTCCTTTCTCTCCTGTTGTATTGAAGTCCTTACACTCACATCTACGCTCTCGCTGGAGGTGCTGTTCTCCTCCCTCTTCCTCTCCTCCTCCTCCTGCTCCAGCTCCTTGATGCTCTCCTCCAGCACGTTGGGCCAGAAGTCGCCCTCAAAGTATGGTAGCTCGTTGGCACTGGTGAGACGGTCCTCCGTGGCCTGCTTGAAGACGTCCTGAAAGAGAGCATGAATAAGATGCATACAATTATTTCATAGAATAAAGAAGTTGGATTTCTGCCTGGCACAGCCTGTGCAATGTCTGACAAAACACCAAAATAATTGTAGTCACCTTGTAGTCGTGCACAATGCGCTCAGCTACGGCCTTGTCCAGCATCTTTTTGTACCACTCCTGTAGGCGCTTGGGCTTGGGGATCTTCTGGTCCACAGGATGACAGTGGAAGATGTAGTCGTCCCCTTCACTTGGGGGACAAGCCCAGATGTGCCCTGTTGTAAACCTGCCATGGGAGAGGAAGGGTTTAAGAATCAGACCAGCAACTGGAAATAGTGAATCTTATTAGAACGTTAAAGTATATCATGAAATTTGCAACAGACCCTTTAGAACATGCATATCATTACACTATGTTTAGATTGATGAGGTCTAGGTCAAGTCATGTTTTCAAGAATCTATGCCCACAAATAGGTTGAGCTTAGTAAAAAGGGCCTCGTCTCTTACCCCAACTTCTTGACGTACTCCAGGTACCCTATGAGTATCTCATGGTAGACGCCTGTGCGGAGGTGTCGAGGTTGGAAGAAGTGCACGCTGTCCAAGTAAGAGATATACACGCGTCTCTGGTTTGGCGGAGGGCTGTCTGAGCCATACTCCTGCACGTGCATGCCGAAGAAGCAGACGTCAGCTCCGTCTATGTCCTCGAACGCAAACAGCGCCTTCGTCCTGTAGGGAAAGGACTCCGACATTTCCCCAGTGTCCACAAACCTGTATCAGTTAAAGGAGAGCGTAAGTAGACACAACCACACAGACAAACACTGAATAGGTGCTGTCCCATGAGAACGGATAAGTCTCAACTCTCCAGTCTACAATGGGACTCATTTAAAGCCCACATTAACCTTTGGAGTCCATTGACGCTAGGATCAATTTGACATCTTCCTTGGTAGTCTATATTTGACCCCATATTAAAGAATCACTACCCCACTGTGCCCTAAGACCCTCACCTGGATTTCATGCCCGGCTTGACCTCCACCACCTTGTCGGAGACATGGACTACACGGATAGTGACATCACCAGACTCGGGATGGTTCTGCCGCCTGAGGTAGTCATTCACTCGCCCCTCTAGGAAGCTGCCCAACTTAGTTTGAGGGAGCCCTGTGAAAATGAAGTATGGAAAGAATAGAATGGGGGAGGGAGAGAGAAATAGAGGAGGAACAAGGAAGGAAGAGAGGAAATGGGTGATAGTGATTAGATGAAAGGTCACATGGTTTCAGTAAAAGCCAACCCAGTCTGGGGGGGGTAGTTGGGTGTATGGGGGTTATGTCTGTTAAGTAGCTCAGAGCAGAGGACTTCACTTCTCTGGTGACATTAAAGACAGAAGACCCACTGGGCTCTAATCTGACAGTGTTTTTTAAACTGTTTTATAAAAAGGACAAGTCAGGAGCATACAAATTCAACCACTGACTGTTTCTAGAGTGTTTCAGAATACTCTGGAGTCAGTCTGAGGCACTTTGTCAATCCTTCAATCAATGTCTAAAATGCCCTGATAGCGTTGTCAATTTGGCAACTAACAGCATATCTGAGACTTGGATTAGTACTCTGCTCTGAACACTCAATAAATCAGAAGAGATTACAAGGTGTAGACTGGGTCTGACTCCATATAAGGACTTTTACCCCTCTTCCATTCAAGACATATTTAATTGAGATCCTTGTATGAGACTAGGCCAGTTGGTCCCTTTTATGCGCATGCCCTCCCGCCTACCTGTGGCTCCCTAAAAACTCTGCCTTCATTGAGGGTGTGGAGAATGGGATGGGGGAGGTAAGAATGTCCACACATGGAAGGATTGTAGGCACGCAAAAACAGGACAACTGTCAAAAAGTTGGGGGAAAAAACGTGAGTATCGATGCCATTGCAAACTGAAAAAAAATTCACCCAAAATATGATTTCAAGTAGATTTCTGGACTGTGGACACCCACTGAGGAAAAAAATATTTGTGAGAGGATGACATAAATAAAAAAGGATCCAACAAGATAAAAAAGAAGTCCATGTCTGCCTGGGTGACCCACAAACCTTAAAACAGCAGACTGTAAACCAAGAACCCCTAAAATGACCATGTTTTTGCCATAGCCTTCAGTGTGTACAGGCCTGGGATAAGAGTGAAATCGAACCACAAAGCTGCAGCGGACTGGCAGCGGCAACTATTGTCTGAGGACTGGCTTCTGAAATAAAAAAATAGGGTTGGTTACATGTAACATTTTCATTGGGGAGGGAGGGGGAGATACGAAAGGGTTGGGTCATGGAAAAAAGTAGAAAGGAAAAAAGGTAGAATGTGTGTTAACTGGAACACTCGTCCTCTAAAGTAGTGTATCAGGGTGTAGGGAATTAAACCATACTGCCTCAGAGGAAAGGACAATTATTTGGAAAAACACAGCGCACAAAATCATAACCGTTGACAGGAAAATTAAAACAAAGATTTGAAGGGGGGAAAAAGTCAATTGGGTGTGTTTGCTCTTCACATGAAAGTATTGTGTTATACTTGTGGGATGTGGATTTAGGAAATGAGTACGGTATGTGTCAGTAACAGCACCAAAGGAGAAGAGGATAAAGAGAACACTGAAAAGAGACGGCTGAGCGACTGGAGAAGGGAGGGAGGGGAGACAGATGGACGGACACCCCAATGAAGATGACGGTAGATGAGCACCCCCCGTTTTTCACTTACTCCACTTACTTTTGGCCGCGTATTTGTTCTCTTTCCGTGTCTTATTGGCCTTCTTAAGGCAGCTGTCACATACAAAGCTGTGGAGAGGGGAAAATTTAAATGCTTTATTTCATTACTTCAAATAAATCATACATGCATTTGTTATTTATCATAGCTCAGAGGCCTTCAGCTTCACTTCTTTGCCCTCCATCTACTGTATAAGACACTAAGGTTATGTTGGCAGCAATGAATGATGTAAAGTATTGCTGAGGGTCATGATGGTAAACAGGCAACACAACCACAGTAAGATTGAACCTGGAACTGCACCTTGGAAATAAGGTTTTTTAAACATCCTTCTAAATTAAAGGGGGACATTTTACCCCCCTTTGGGTGTATTTAAAAATTTTCTTTTCCCCCAAAGTGAAACCCAAAAACCAAAAACAAAAAATAATGGAAACAATTTAAACCCCATGGTCTGGAAATTTTTATTTTCAAACCCTTCCTAAAAAAACAAAAACAAAAACCCTGCTAAAACCCAAAACTTGAGTACGCAAAAAAAACAAAAGTAAAATGAGCCAGAAAAAATTTTGGGTAAAGGGGGAAAAATGCCCTAAAAAAATGGGTGCACCGGGACAGATAAATGTAAAAGGGAAAATAAAAAATGGGTCCTGGGGACGGCACCTTTCCCTAAAAATTCTTTGTGAGGGCTTGAAAGGGGGAAGGCCACATTGGGGGTAAAACGGGGCCAAAACCAAATAGGGGGCCAAAGGTTAATTCAGCAAAAAAAAAAAGTCAGCTAACTCGGCTAGGCAAAGGAGGTTCGCCCAAAAAATCACCCCATCTAAAATTAAAAACCCCAGTTTTTTTTGGGTTTTTGCAAGGGGAAAGCAAAAACGTTGGGGCGTTAATAAACTCTGCCTTGGGTAGGGGAAAAAAACTGTTTTTTGGGAATAACTTCCAAGGGAATGAAGGTTTCCGGGGGGAAAGAAAGCCCCTTGAAGGTTTCTTTACAACCCATTGTGGACTTTTCAAAAACCAAAACTTTTTAAAATTTCAAAAAAAAATTTAAAAACTGAAATTTTGGGGGGGGGTTTTTGGGGAGGGGGGGGGGTGGTCCCCGTCAAAAAGGGGGGGGGATCACCCCCCGGGGCTCCCCCTGGTTTTGTTGCCCTTTCCCAAGGGCCCTTCCCCAAAAGGCCCTTGGGGGTAACCCGTCCCAACCGCCCCTCCGGAAAACAAGGAAAAGGCCCCCAAGGGGCCGGCGGGCCAAAAAGGGGGAAAGGTGTCCAGGGAGCCAATATGAGCATTTGTGGGGGGTTTTTGATTTTCAGTTAAAGGTAAAAGGCAACCGCGGGCCCAATGGACATCAAAGGGGGTTTAAAAAAAGGGAGGGGGAAGGGAAAAAAAGGGGTAATGGGGGGGGGGAAAAATTGTATTAAAACGGGTTTTCACAAAGGGACAAAGGGGAATGGAGGGAAATAAGGTGGGGGGTCCAAGGGACAGGTTTAAAAAAACACAGAAGGTAGACTTGGGGAAAAACATTTGGGTTGGTTTTTTTAGGCCTTTATTTTTTTGAGAAGTGTATTTTTTATTATCGCATTTTAAAAGTTTAACAGCCAGACTTTGAATAGTTAGGAAAATTTTGGTAACTGTCCATTGGAAATGAAAACTTTTTTAACGGCCCCGGGGGCATAAAAATTTCCAAAGGGCCTCCCCAAGAAAACCCAGAAAAATAAAGAATACCAGAGGGAAAGGTAAGGGGGGGGGGGGGGGGGGGGGGGGGTCAAAAAAGGTGGATTTTAAAAAGGAAAACAAAGGGGATCAACTACAAACATTTTTTCCAAAAAGGGGCCCCGTTGGAGAAGGTTTTAAAACAAAAGGGGGGTGTAATACGTTGCCAACAAAATATTGATGCGTTTGAGGGAAAAGGATTGGGGGTGGTTGACCCCTTTTCCCAAGGGTTGGGGGTTTTTTTGCCAATAAAAAATGTTCCGCAGCGTAGCCCGGGGCTTTTTTAAGTCGGGGTAAAAAGGAAATATTTATTAATTATATTTTTTCAATTACACAAATTGAAAAATTTAAAACATTAAGATAAAAATTTTAGAAAAAATAAAAAAAGGGCCCCCATTTGTAAATGAAAAAAATTTTTGGTAAAACGTTTTTGGAAGATGAAAAGTGGAAGGGGCCAAATTTGAAAAAAATCATCATCTTGGCAATGAATGGAAATTAACCTAAAAAAATCACAAAAAACAACACTCAAGTAATTTTTTTTTTTCAGTAGCAAAAACATCTCAAATTTGGGGGTTTTGGGGTTGTTGTTGGGGTTTTTGGGTGGAGAGAAGGGGAAACTTGAGGATGAGCCCCGCTTTTAGTGTCTTAGAGGTGAGGGGCCCCGGGAGTCCCTGTTTTATAAAAAAGTCCCGGGAGGGAAAATTTTTCCATAGAGAAGAGTTTTGGGGGGAAAATGCTCAAAAAATAAGAGAGGCATAAAAAAATAAAGAAAACTTATGTCTAAAATACAAATAGGAACCCGAATTTAAAATGTTTTGATGAGGTTGTTTAAAACGCGTGAAAATAAAGGGTGGTCTTAAAATTTCTGAGGGTATTCACATCCATTTCAAAAACAACAAAATTCCCGCCACCCCCCCAAGGAGCCAGGCCTCAACAGGGCATGGGAAAAACCCCCGGCCAGTTGGAAGCATCGTGCGGGGATTTTGGCGGTTTTTCCCGGGGTTTTTTAAAATTTGGCCATTTTATTTTTGGGGGTTGGAGGGTTTGTCCACCCCGGGCCCCTTTTGCGACATCAGGGGCTTAAAAAATTAGGAAAGGGGGAAAAAGGGGAGGGGGGGAGGGAGCCCAAAAGGAAAAAAAAGGGGGGGAAAAAATTTTTTTGGGGGTCACGATGAGGGAGGAAGGGAAGGTAAGGGGAAAAATGGATAAAAGGCATCAAGGGAAGACAGATTTTTTACACCCAGGGGGAACCAACGGGGAAAAGGGGGTTTTGCAGGGGACAATTTATTTTCCAAGATTCGTGAAAACTTGAAAAAAGTTTTTCCCCTTCTTTTTTTCCCCCTTTTTAAAGGGGAATTGGGGAAAAGGCGGGAAGAACGGGGGGCCAGGCTCCCCCCTTTCCAATTTGCACAAAAATTCAATTTCCCCTCATCGGCCCCAAAAAATTTAAAATGACTCTGGGAAGGAAAAGCCCTTTTTAAACCCAAAGTTACAGGAAATTAAGGTAAACACGTTGGAAAAAAACATTTGGTTGCAACAGCGACCCATAAACCCTTTTCTCCTTAAAAGACCCTTCCTGGGGGTTTTGGAGAGGGGGTAAAACAGGAGGTGAAACGGGGGTTTAAAAACAGTAAGCGCAAAAAAAAAGGGGGAAAAACTGGATGGGAATGGAACACCCCCGGTCAAGAAAAATGAGACAAAGGGGAAAGCGGGGCTGAAAAAGAAACCCCTGGCTAAAAACCGGAAAAGGAAAAAGGGACTTCCTTTGCAAACGGGGGCACAACCCGGGTAAATGAAAAATGGAAAATTTATTTGGCATTTTTTTCTGGTTAATTAAAAAACAACATGATTGGTTTATGATTATTGAAAAATTGAGGTGTGTAACCCATTTAAGAATTTTTCACTAATTTCTTTGACAGATAATTTCCCGAAAATTTGGGCAAAAAATTCAAATTTCCTTTGGAAATGGGGAATGGCAAAACAAAAAATTTTTTGATTGTCCCAATTGGTTGGGAAAATTTAGGGTATAAGAGGTCCAGTTTTGATTGAAGTTTGTTTTCTTGAGAACCCCCTTAAAACGTTGGGGCAAATTTCCATCTCAATCAAACTTCCCAAGACAAATTTGGGGGGGAAACTTCGGGGGAAAAATCAATGAAAGGATCAGTGGGAAAAAAATTTATCAGAACCAATTTGGAAGTTTTTCCCATTAAAAGGAGAAGGCCTGTTTTTAATAGGTTTTAACCCAAACTTACACCAAAAAAAAAAAAAACAAAACACATTTTAATTTTTGAAAGCAAAAGGGGGAAATAAGTATTTGGTCAAAACAAATTTTTCCAATTACTTTGTTTATCCCTTTTTAATGACAAAGGTCAAATTTTTGAAGTCTTCCTTTTTACCATTTTGCGGTTTGGGGTTCCCTCAATGAAAAGTCTCCTTGACAGGATGTTTTGGGGGGTCGGGCCAAAAGGATTTAAAATTAAAGATTTTCTATGGGGTGGTTGGAAAAGGGCAGGCCTAAAGGATTGAAAGTTTTGACACCCTTTGTGCCGGGCGGGGGGGTCAGCATGTAAAAAGCCCACCCAGTTTCTTTTCCCAACCCTTGGAGGAAAAGGGGTTTTCCCCTTCACATACTGGCCCCTTTTTTTTCCTTGGGACACGGACAGTGGGGCTGCCCCCTTTCAAAAAAACCCCCCAAAGCTGATTTACCAACAGAAAATTTTAAAATGTTTTGGATGAAATTAGCCCTTTGGGCCTCCCCCGGGGTTGGTTTTTACCAAAAAGTTTTTTGGTTTCTTCTGACCTAGACATTTCCCAACCCTTTCCGGTCACCAAAAAATCAGAAAAAACCAAGGGGCGGGAAACTCAGCAGGGGGCCCGTTGGAACCGGGATTTACCCCCGGCCCGGCAGGGGAGTGGAAGGTTTTGTCGGCCAGCTCTCTCGGTCTTCCGGGTCCCCCGGGTTTTTGGGAGCCCCTTTTGACAAAACCCCACGGGGGTGAGGTTGCTGGGCCCCCCAAATAGGGAGTTATCATTTGTTGTTTCCATTTTTAATAATTGTTCCCCAAAATTGTTTTAAAAATCTTACATTAAATTTCTTCTGTAGTGCGGTTAAATTTGGTTTGTTGTTTTGACAGCTCTTTGGGTTTTGGGCCCCATAAGTTGGGTTTTTGCTGTTTGGGGTTTGGGGAAGGGGTTTTTTAATGAAAAATTTCAAAACTGCAAATTAAAAGGTAACAGTGGGGAAAGGGCCCTTGAAAGATTCAGGCTTAAGCCAAATCTGCTTTTTTTAGGTGACAAATACTTTTTTCCAAAAATTTTGAAATAATTCATAAAAAATCCTACTATGTGATTTTCTGGATTTTTTTTCCTCAATTTGTCTGTCATAGTTGACGTGTACCTATGATGAAAATTACAGGCCTCTCTCATCTTTTTAAGTGGGAGAACTTGCACAATTGGTGGCTGACTAAATACTTTTTTCCCCCCACTGTATGTGTGAGAAAAAATTTGCTAAATCATATCCAAATTAGAATTGTAAAAGCATAAAAAGTCTGGAAGCATAAAAAGATTAAAAGAAAGCAGTTTAAATAATAAAATAAAGTAATGGGCTATGAACATTTTTGGCTAGTAAATTTCCCCTTTAGGGCATGTTACTTGAAATGCAGAACAGTGATGTACCACTGATAAAATGGCTGCTTATTTTAGGCCTTTTGAAGTCTGATGAAATGCAAAAACAAAAGCCGCTATTAACAAGGCCCAGGGGTCTAACATTCATTAAGTGTTGATCTTAATCAAAACTGACAGGTAGAAACCAATCAAAAATATTTATTTTAAATTCTAACAGACAGAAAAGGTTTACATTTGCATTTCTCCTAAATGTTACTGACAGACTCATTGATTTCTGTTGACTTGGTTTACAAGCAAAACAAGTTAACTTTTTCTACATAGCATTTTCTTTTTTTTGGTGGTGTAAGAGAATTAGAGAGAAGCAAGCATGAGCTGACACGCAAACACAGGCACACACACACAAACACACACACACCTACCCAAGAACCTACAGTAAAAACCAACTGACCTACGTTTGATGTATAGTATACTCTACCTGAGCAGAGATATAACACTCATAAATTCAGGATCGAGAAAACTCTCACTCACACACACACCTTCCAAGTATCGCTACAACTCCCCTAGCCAACAGTCACTCCCTCACACATGTGGTGGTGGTAAGGATGAAGAGAGGGATGAAAGAAAAAGGAAAAGGAAGAAGGAATGAGAGAAAAATGAACTAAAAAGAACGGTAAGAACGTTTTTAGGAGGACGCAAAATGGAAGCCAGCGCAGTCCCTTACCAGGTTAGTTTTGTTACTAGTTCGAATACGTACGGGTATTCCCAGTAACTGGGGGTCCACTGGTTGGCGGAAGGGCAGAGACTCAGGGTCTTGGCGGTACAAGGCCTCCAGGGTGGGCATCAGAGCCTGCCGCAGCTCCTCAGGCTTAAAGACTGGAGAGGGAGTGACGGAGGAGAGAGGGAGTGACGGAGGAGAGAGGGAGTGACGGAGGAGAGGAAGTGGGGATATAGGCAGTGCAAGTAGTGTAAAAGGAGGAGCAAGAAAGATGGGGAATTTTTTGGTGTTGATTAGGCTGTTTACAGGTGAATATACACTTAGCTTCAAAAAGTCATAGCCTAGATCTATACACCATGGCCGACTTAGGTCTGAAACCAACGTTGAGGAATGCTTGCATATGAAGATGAGGACAGGTACATAAGATAAGAGAGGAAAAAGTAGCGGGGGGTGTCTTACTTTTCCTCTTATTCTGAGCGCTGGCGGGGGAGCTGTGCGTGCCCGATGCCCCCGACCTCTCCTCTTCGTCTTTGGGCTCAGTCTTCACCTCTGGCTTCCTGTCTCTGTCCTCCATCTTCGGCGTTGCTGCCGATGACGATGTGTCCATAGGCTCACCCTTGCATCCGTCGCCTGAAGGCTTCTCCTTCTTAATCTGAGCGGGGACATGATGTTCAATATCCTATTCACATTTCCAGACATCATCCTGAATGTAACAACTGTTAGCTGTGTACTAAATATATCTTCACCTCGCTGGCTAGCTAGCACTGTGTCTTTTGCTTTTGGAACCATGCATTTGAAAAACTGGAAGGCTCACCTCCGGTTTCTCCTCTGACTTGATGTCTGCCTGTCCCTTGCCCATCTTCCCAGAGGCCTTCCCCTCTCCCTGGTCCTCAGCATCCTCATCGTCCTGCTGTTTCACCTCCATCTTGGGCTCAGCTGGGGCGGGGGCGTCAGACGAGGTCAGCTGGGAGCTAGGGTCCACGCTGCTCACCGAGGCTGGAGTGGAGGCCTGGCCGTCTGCAGTCAGAGAAGACTTCTGAGACAGCTGGGAGGACAGAGAGAGAAAAGTTAATGGAAAGGAAATGAACAACAGAGGAACAGCCACAAAAAGCTAGTGAAAAGAGTGAACAGCCAAGGACGTAGACCAACAAGGAACGGAGGGCAGGGGGACAAGAGAATTTGACTACGGTGTCTGTCCAGGCAACGAGGGAAATCTCAAGAGACGTGACGTATGGAGGTATAGCCAGAGACCAGGGACAAGCTTAGGAATCCAAAGAACAGCACTTCTGACAACCATGAGGAGTTGAGTTAGTGAGACTATGGGGAGCAGTAGGGGGAAAACTACTCACTGGAGTTCGCGGAAGCTGGGTTGGCACATGGGCATTCTGGGTAGGCACAGACTGAGCCTTCCCCATCTGGAGGCCTCCAGAAGCTCCACCACCGATTGTCTGCTGCTGGAGCTGATTGGGCTTCTCCGAGTTCATTCCTTGCCCCATTGGCTGTGACGACGCTAGCTGCTGCTGTGGGAGCGGAGGGACGACCTGGGGCGGGTTGGGCGTGTGAGGCTGGGGGGTTTGCGAGCCTGGCAGACCAGACGGCGTCTGATGAGGGGTTGGCGTGAGGCTGCGTGCCGGGGAGGGGGAGTTCTGACGGAATTGGGGGGGCAGTGCGGGTGTGAGTTGGGCTGGGACGAGTTGGAGTTTGGCAGTTGCAGGTTGGAAGGAGGGCCTCCACCTACGCTGCCTGGCCCCATGGAGCACTGGGAGGGCCCTGAACCTGCCGCTGAGCCTGGCTGGGCTGTAGGGCTGCTGACCGGGAGCGAGGGCGGCGTGGGCATCTGGGCCTGCTGGAGAACACCATGGAGGAGATGGTTAGGTCTATACCCAACTTCAAATATGACAACTATTTTAGTGTCACCCTTTACTTATAGCACTGGTTCCAGTATTTATTTACCTGTGCCACGCCTCCTTGTGGTCCCTGGATGGTTCATGCCGACTGGGCCAGCCCCGAGGCCAGGACTGGACCCAGGGAACTGACCAGAAGGGAGGTACTGGTTCTGGAGCTGGGCCAACGTTGGGCTGCCCCATCCGCGTTGGCCCCATACCCATCTGAGTGAGACCGAGCAAGATAAATGATTAACTTTTTGTTCTAATGAGACCATGGTTATTTTCTATAATCGCTGTGATTGGAATGTTGAAATAGAATCAATTTATATCAATATTGAATGCAATTATTTTCCAACTTCATTTGGACATTGGGAATGAGAGAGGGCTACTAACCTGATTTAGAGGTCCGCCAAGTGGGAGGGGAGGCGTTGACCTCTGACCTAATGACTGCATCCCCATTTGACCAAACTGATTCATCCCTGAGAGAGACGAGAACGAGCAAAGCAGTAACACCCATTAGCCACCATTATAGGTCCACCATTCAGACTGGTTCGGTTTGTGCCAAGCAGCAAACTGAGCTGAGCATGTATGACTGTAGGAAGAGCTTACCTGCAGGGTTTTGCATCCTGTTCCCCATCTGATTGGGTCCGGTGGGTCGAACCATGGAGGGGTCAGCATGAGAACCATCTGAGAGTGAAGAGAAACACATTAATTAGCTTTGCATCTATGGCTACAGTAACCAGGTTTCATCCAACCATTTCATGCAGATGAATTACCTGACGGCTGACGTATAAAAAAAGTCACAACAGGCCTGATGGAAACAGGACATTTGTCAGTAAAATGTCATAATGTCCCCAAACCAAATACGCTAGACATGGGTGTATAACTGATTATGCGACAATTGCAGTGGAAATATTGATACAATAACCATCATATCGAAGTAAACTTGGAGTCACGCAATTATATGTTACATTGTAGGCCTAACCACCACGACGTGGAAAAGCATGACGAGTTTATAGGCAGATTAAATAAGCTATGATGAACTTCACATGGTGGTTAATGCACGGTGATCATGCAACATTTCCAATAAATATTGACGGTAGGCCATTATTTGAATGTTGGTGACATGATGATTGGTGCTTGGCTGCCAATTATCAAATAAAAGGATCTTGTTCTTCTTCATATAATCCACCCTGTCCACTTTATCAGCACACTCTTGTCTAGAGAGCATGCGACAAAACCAGAGTGGGCAAGTTTGCTAATTAACAGTTTGTGTGACAAAAACATCAGTAGAGTTGAAAATGTGATTGAAACACATTGAACTTCTGTTATTAAATACAGTACATGAGAATTAACCGCAAAAGTCATTTTTATATGCACTCTGTCATTACACAGAGCTTTTTATCCGCAACAAGTCCGTTTAAAATCGAATCAACTTTTATTTGTCACATGCGCCAAATACAACGGGTGTAGACTTTACAGTGAAATGCTTGCTTATGAGCCCTTCCCAATGATGCAGAGTTTAAAAAACTAACACAAGAGGAATAAAATAAGTTTGATGGAAACACACCTCTGGTTAGAGAATACTAATTTAGTTTTTATGCAGATTTTTGAATAGTCTTGACAATCTGTTCCCAATTGGATGGAAACTAGCTATTGAAGTAAATAGAGCCACGCAATTGGAATCAAGCAGTGGTAATCACACCTAAACTGCGTTTATTTTCAGCAAACTTAACATGTGTAAATACTGGTATGAACATAACAAGATTCAACAACTGAGACATAAACTGAACAAGTTCCACAGACTTGTGACTAACAGAAATGGAATAATGTGTCCCTGAACAAAGGGGGGGGGGGTCAAAATCAAAAGTAACAGTCAGTATCTGGTGTTGCCACCAGCTGCATTAGGTACTGCAGTGCATCTCCTCCTCATGGACTGCACCAGATTTGCCAGTTCTTGCTGTGAGAGGTTACCTCACTCTTCCACCAAGGCACCTGCAAGTACCCGGACATTTCTGGGGGGAATGGCCCTAGCCCTCACCCTCCGATCCAACAGGTCCCAGACGTGCTCAATGGGATTGAGATCCGGGCTCTTCGCTGGCCATGGCAGAACACTGACATTCCTGTCTTGCAGGAAATCACGCACAGAACGAGCAGTATGGCTGGTGGCATTGTCATGCTGGAGGGTCATGTCAGGATGAGCCTGCAGGAAGGGTACCACATGAGGGAGGAGGATGTCTTCCCTGTAACGCACAGCATTGAGATTGCCTGCAATGACAACAAGCTCAGTCCGATGATGCTGTGACACACCGCCCCAGACCATGACGGACCCTCCACCTCCAAATCGATCCCACTCCACAGTACAGGCCTCGGAGTAACGCGCATTCCTTCAACGATAAACGCAAATCCGACCATCACCCCTGGTGAGACAAAACCAGTCCTGTCTGGTCCAGCGACGGTGGGTTTGTGCCCATAGGTGACGTTGTTGCCGGTGATGTCTGGTGAGGACCTGCCTTACAACAGGCTACAAGCCCCTCAGTCCAGCCTCTCTCAGCTATTGCGGACAGTCTGAGCACTGATGGAGGGATTGTGCGTTCCTGGTGTAACTTGGGCAGTTGTTGCCATCCTGTACCTGTCCCGCAGGTCAGATGTTCGGATGTACCGATCCTGTACAGGTGGTGTTACACGTGGTCTGCCACTGCGAGGACGATCAGCTGTCCGTCCTGTCTCCCTGTAGCGCTGTCTTAGGCATCTCACAGTACGGACATTGCAATTTATTGCCCTGGCCACACCTGCAGTCCTCATGCCTCCTTGCAGCATGCCTAAGGCACGTTCACGCAGATGAGCAGGGACCCTGGCATCTTTCTTTTGGTGTTTTTCAGAGTCAGTAGAAAGGCCTCTTTAGTGTCCTAAGTTTTCATAACTGTGACCTTAATTGCCTACCGTCTGTAAGCTGTTAGTGTCTTAACGACCGTTCCACAGGTGCATGTTCATTAATTATTTATGGTTCATTGAACAAGCATGGGAAACAGTGTTTAAACCCTTTACAATGAAGATCTGCTAAGTTTATGTTGAAAGAGAGTAGCAATGTTGTCAAATATGTGTGTTTAAAGTGTCTACTCACTGGGCGGCTGTCCGGGGGCCAGAGGCGACTGGCCCATGCCAAGGGGTCCCTGTGGCAGGCCTGAGGGGGGCATGCCGGGTTGTGTGGGCATCATGCCCTGCTTCTGTAACCGCGTCCGCCTCTTCTCCTCCAGTTCCTTCTGGATCTTATAGATCTTCTCAGCCAGGAGGTGGTAGTACTCCGCCTGGTAGCGATACAGGAAATTCAATAAATTCAAATACACCCTCTAGTCCGCCATTATTAGTTGTGGTCAGTTAGTTTAAATCATTGTATTCCATTTCTGTATATACGTAAAAGTTCACCCCCATTGAGGGTATTACCCCCTTTCACTATAAATCCCTTACTTTACCAAAAGGAGGACATTTTAAAGGGTCTTCAGCCACCTCCGGGGGGGGAAAGGTGCACATGCCCCCCCACAACGGAAAAAAAATACAAAGGGGATTCCCAAAGGGCTGCGCCTCCTTCACCCGATTTTTGGTTGGGGGGGGCAGGCCGACACAATCATAAATTTTCAAATAGCAAAAAAACCTTTTTTCTTTAAAACAAAATTTTGTCCCCCTGGACCCTTGGGCTGGGCAACCCAAATTGGGACGGGGGTTAGGGTTTGGGTATTCTTCCAAATTCCCCAGCCCCCCAAAAAATCCCATGGGTGGAACCAGGGCCCGCCCCCCCGGTTTTCAAAAAACAAGGGAAGGGTGGAGACACACTAATTTTATAAAAATTAAACTTTATTGTTTGCCCTGTTTTTTGAAAATGTTTGGTCTTTTGAGTGGCCCGGCCAAAAAATCAGTATTTAATTTTTGGACAGGGATAGTGATTTCGGGGGGGGTTTAGGGTTTGGGGTACCTTTGGGCTTCCCTTTTGTTTGGGGCCCCTGGCGTTTTTTAGCAGGTTTTTGGGTGATTGGGGGCGAACCCTTCCCCATCCCCGGGGTTCCTAAAGGGCCCCGTAAAAAAGAGGGGGTTCGCATTTCCTTCTGGGAAAACAAAACTTCCTTTTTAAAAAGGGATCCTGTTAATCTGACCCAAAATGAATTTGTCACGCCCTTCGGAAATTTTTTTAAATTAACCCCCCTTTTACCAAAACGGGGTTTTTGGGGAAGCCCATGCCCACTAACGGGAAAGGCCCCTTTCCAAATGGTTGGGGAGGTTGGAGGGGCTTTTGGGGTTGTTTTCCTGGTAGGGGGGCCCAAGGGGCCGAGGCCCTCTCAATGGAAATGGGGGAAATTGGCGGGCGGGGTTTTGGGTTATTGCGGGTGAAACCCCCTCACCCCCAACGAGTGCCAGGCCAAACCCCCCCTTAGGAGTTGGGAGATGGGGGTAGGGAGGGGGGGGGGGGGAGAGAGAGAAAAAAATTCATGAAAATACAAGATTTTAAAAGGCCTTGGCAAAGGGAGTGTAATCACAACAGAAAAACAATAGCATAAAACACTCAAAACTGCGGTTCCTTTGTTTCCCCCGTTCTTGGGCAGGGAGAAGGAAATTGTGCGAGTGCAGTTCTTAGGGGAGTTCTGCGCGAGAGGCCATGTGCCACGGGGGAAAAAGAAGGAGAGAAAGGGAGAAAACTGGGGCGAACCAAAAAAGTTCTGTGGACCAAAGTTGATTTAAGGGGAAAATTAATGAAAAAACAAAAAGCCCGGGGTAGGCCGTTGGGGAAAAAAACAAAATTTAAAAACAGGGTAAAAAAATAAACCCGGAAGAGGATTCAAAGTTTAAAGTGGCTTCCTCTATTTTGGAGAGTGGAAAACCCTTGAAATATTAAAACCCCCAAAAAATATTGGCCCCCTCACCGGCAGGGTAAACCGGAAAGGGGGTTTAAAAGGGTTTAAGTTCTTAAAGTTTTGCATGGGGAAAAAGGCTGCACGGCGCACCTCCCGTTCCTCCCCCCTGGCACTTTTTTGGGGGTAGCGGGAAGCCAGCGCTGTTGGATGCTTGCGGTTTGGGTCGGCCCGTTTGGGGGGGCGCTGCCCCGGACTGGGGTTTACGGTGGGAATGGGCCCGGTCCCCCGCACTCCCCCACGAACGCCCCCACCGCCGGGCCCGGGGAGGAAGCCAGAGCGAAAAGAGAGGAGAAACAAGGGGGGGGGGTGAGGGAAATGGTTTGGGGGAAAAAGGGGCTTTGGGGTTTAAAGACGGGGGGGGGCTTTTAAAAAGGAGACAAAGTCAATAAAAACTTACATGGGTTTTGTTCCCCCGGGCCCGAGGGGGCAAAATTGTATTTTAGTAGGGTGACCCCAGAGCAAAATTTTTTCCCTGGAAAAAGAAAAACAAGCAGTCCCAAACTCTTTTTTTTTAAAAAATGTTATGTAAAAGGGTTCTAACTGGAAAACAAAAAAATAGGGGTTTGGTGACAACATAAGATTTGTTTGCAAAAGGGGGGTTTTTTAAAAAGTTAATGCTTCTTTTTTTCTTGGAATAACAGTTTGGAATATTCCCCCAACCCAAAAAAAAGGAAAAAAAAGACCCCCCATCCCGCATGCCTGCAGGGTCAGAGTGCGAAGCCACAGAAGTAAACACTGACTGAGCAGCAGGTGGATATGTGTGTATAGAAGAGATTTCTCTGCCTCTACATAGAGAAAGGGAAATAGCAGGCATGTCTGCTAAGTTGCAAGATCTACTTGAATTGCCCTTGGCTGAGACGTGAATTCACTTACAGTGCACGGTGGATACCAAACAAAGGCAAACCTTTGCGTCCTTTATGACTATCATTTGGCAAACAAACCTCTGGATATAAAACTTCAGAAACCAGGGGCAAGTGGTCTATTTATGACACCAGGTTGAGGGTGTGCTTGGCAGAGACTTGAAACGCCTACGGCGCCAGAAGCAATCAGTCTCACCTCTTGCCATCTCTAGCTTAGAGCAGAAGCAGGACTGCAGCCATCTTAGAGGGGGGGGAAATATTCCATTAAACACACAAGAGCTGATCCACTCAAATAAGCAAGCTAGCCTCAAATATGCAAGCATGCATCCTCAGTCAAGCTTGAGTCTCTTTCAGCGAAACAGGTGGGTGTGTTAACATTTCTACACTATCCCCCAAGTTGCAGTGACTGTAGTACAGGGAACAATCAAATTGTTCTTCTGCACGGCATGGATACAACATCCGTACCTGTAGTTTTCAACTACATACAGATGCTGAACACCGTCACAGTCTCTGCACTAATGTCATAAACGAGAAAGCCTTCTCAATTTACTTACTTTACCGCCTATATCCCCTGACTCTTACTAAAATGAAGATGTAGGCTACTACCCCCCCACCATGACCAATGAAACACATGGTAAGTTGTGTACACTTGTGTCTGCATTGGGTGGGGATGGGGGGGGGGGGTGCAACAGGAACTACCTCTGAAGCAGTGATTTTGCAAATGCTTGCTTGTGCAAATGCTACTGTGAGCGACTCCTGGTCCACAAGACTCAGTCAAGCACCGATGCCCCAGATTCCCATCACAATGGGAGGCAACAGACAGCAGCCATTTACTGGACTGACAGCCTGTTCTAACATCCACCATTTTCACACCCTGGCCGACTGATGTGCTTTTTTATTATTGAGGAAAGGAGGGGAGTTGCATGTTGCATTTGCTCTTCCCTTCCAAACAGAATCAGCTTTTCACCACAGAGTGGTTTGTTAGACCTGTGCAGAGCCTTTCTTTGAATTCCAGTAATGACTTGGTTGGTACAACAGAACTTGGATGACACATAAATCAGAGCTGTATGTTAAGAGAGAACATGCTTGTACAAGGCATGCTTCAAGTGAAATGGCAACTTGGTTGGGCTGGTACAGTAGAGATAGGCTGAGTTTACACAGGCAGCCCAATTCTGATCTTTTGCCGAATTGTAGCCATAGTGCTCCAAAAAAGTTCAATCTAGACTTCGTGTCATGTGAGAAATGGCATTGAAACGAAAGCTAAAACTTATGGAGGGACCTATTTGGGCAATCCTGAATTGTTTAATTTGTGAATAAATGCATCCTGATGACAGACATGACATGGAGAAACAAACAAAATGGGGAATTATGGGTGCCAACTACCAGCCAAGGCAGCTAACTTAGCCTACCCATTTAATAAATATGAATTGCATGCGTCAGGGAGTGGGGTCTGCACATTTAGGAAATATGTTGTGTTTTTCAATCTGGCCTATAATAGTTTAAGCTTGACATTTAACTTTTACCGTGTTATCAAAGTATTAAAATGAGTTAACATTGTAGCTAGAATTGAACGGGGCAGTCCTGCAAATGAGGGGCAAAAAAGCGCCGACAGGACTCAATGGTAGTCAACAACACCTTATACTACAGTCCAATTAATTCAGACTTTAAAACAAAAGGGTATGAAAAAGCTAGACACATACATACAAACGCCTAACATAACGTCACGCTGCTACATTGTAGCGACAAAAGGCACTACAACTTAAGTCTGCTTACGAGCTACTTGACTCACTCTAGCTAGTGTAGCCACCTAGCTTCTAGACAATGCAGCAGTACACAACACACAGAAGTGGTGATGGCTCGGTCACAACGCTAACTAGTTAGCTAACTGCCGTAAGTATAACAACACTCCAGACACCATGTTATAGCAAAGTTGTCGAAACAGGTTAAAATAAATGAACCCCTACACCAATCCAATACTAAAAATGTACATGTGTCACCTTTCTGATTAGCTAGCTATGCCAATTTACCTAAGATAGCTAATAACTAACGTTTTTAGCTAGCTAGCTAGCTACAGTGGCTACCCAAACATCAAAAGCATGCATCTTTATTGCTTGCAGCGCTCAAGTTGAATATCTAACGTTAGCTAACTAGCCGGCTATCCATAAATGGTGGCAAGCTGCAGCTAGTTAAATAGGAGAAGTAACATTAGCTTGCTAAGTTGGCTAACTGTAGTTACCTAAATTCCAATAGTGAGTTCACAACTTGCTATACTTGGACTATCCCATTGTTTGAAGCGGGCAGATAACTGGCTAACTTCAAAACTTTCACTTCAGACCATAACACTGGGAGGGCAATTAGCCAGTCAACTTTACTTTGACCAGTTGGGTAACAAGCAAACCTTTACTACTACCACCTAGTTGGTAGCTAACGTTGGTATCACACAACCTGGCTGATGATGGAGGTGGATCATTCATGGTAACTTGGTAAAACAAGCTGGTTAACTTGCTAGGTAATATAACATCCCTGAACAGCTAGGCAGGACTGTTATAGTATTTCAAATGTTTACCGTTTCCATCACTGGCGGAGACTGAGAGAGCAGGGGATGATAGTTTAGGCCTCTTGGCTGAAGGCGGGCCAGACTCTAGAACATTATCGGCCATATTTTTTCACGAATTAAAAAATAACTATATATCCACAAAGGATTGGCTTATTCCCTTGTTTGCGTCCTTCGACTCCTTTCAAACTTCCCTTCTGTAAATGTTTTTGATTCTTCCCCCACCGTTTGGGGACGGTAGGGGGAAAGGAGGCAATTGCGATACACTCTTCCTTTCAGGGTACCCACTCTCGATCTATGCTTAGCGGTAGCTATCAATCCCCCTCCCCTGTCGGAGATGTTGTTCCTTTATAGATTTCTCAGTTTAGAAGGAGGGAAGGTGGAGTCGATGAAAAAGACAAGCAAGTAGGCCTTCGACAACCTCATTTAGCCTCTTCGGCGTCGGATAAATTGTCCCAAGACCTGTCCTCCATGGCAGCGTCAGTCTTTTCCGCCATAGTCGGCGGCGAAATCGAGTGTTTAATTCTAGAGCACTCTGCTGAAGGGTCGTGTCCAGGGAAGCAAGATGGGAAACGCGATAAAGAACGCAAGCAAAACGTACCCCAGTGGTAGGCTACCGTTGGGGGCCTCGTCTCATGCAACAGTTACGAGAGACCCGAAAACGGATAAATCTTCCACTTGGTCTGAATTGCCATTGCAGTCAATGCAATTTGATCCCAACATTACCACAAAGTAATGAGTGGACAAATAAGAAAATGATGGCGGTAGGTCCTTAATCTAATAAAAATACACCGATGAATGTGTCCGACAGTGACAGAATATAAAAATCATCCCCATACGTAAATTGGGATCGTCAAGAAACAAGAACTTGATAGGTTTATCAATATTCGGGGCTATAAAACCGGGATACCCAGTCCCAATGAGTGATAGTGGTTTAAGATGCATTTAAAGAATGGGTTAAAACCCTCCAATTCAACACAAACAATTCGCATTGTATTTTAGATAAATATAGTATAGGAGTGCAATTCAGCTCTGAAAAAAGAATACCGTGAAGCTGACTGATCAAGTTCTGTTCTCCAATAGGCTGTACTACACTTATGGGCTAAATTAATTCCATGCATTTAATACATTTCCCTTAGCATCTACTTGTAGTCTACATCGTGTCATTCTTTTGTTAGTTTGTCAATGCAAGGCACTGAATTGGAAAGAAAATAACGGACACTGAATGCACATTTGGATGTTGCACCCCTTTGCGCGATTATGCCAATTACATGCAATACAATGTATCAATTAGTTTGTGTCCTGAAAAATAATTTTGGCTAAATTCTGAGATTTGATGTTGCAAAAATCGTTTCTTGAGTTATAGCCCAGAATGTGCCAATTAATGTCCTACCAGATTGATCCAATTAGTCCTAGTTTTATTTTGCAGAGGACGTTTGGTTTACTTGCCCAAGTGTTTGAGATTTAAAGCTTACCAAAGACAGGTCTTCAAAGGTAATCATATAGCCTACTGCAATAAGATCACCATTGATTAGAAAGATGAAATTGGTTGATAAATATTGCAAGAAATTATCGGTCACTGCGTACGCTGATTTAGGGTGCAATGCAAGTGAATAAAAAAATCCCGAACAAGAGAATACAGCGATGAGCGAAAATCTGATGAAGCGAGGGGGGTCGCTACAATATTATGGCTATTTTAGAAAAGTGGCAAGCTTCGTCCATAAGATAATGATAGCAACACCCCCAAACATATTTGGGATCCACAAAATCCTTTCATTGAGTCTTTGTGATGGTAAATGCCCCCCTTCACGTTTATCCTAATTTATTTTTTCCTTTAAACCTGCCTGTTATCCCCCCTCAAATACCCAATATACATTTATCGGTATATTTGTCTATGCGGGCATTTTTTCATCGGTGGCGATGGGTAAATTATGATTTTTTTCATGTTCTATTTTTTTTTCGCTCGCAGGTTTTTTTCTTCGTTAAATATATTGCCTTCTTCCGCCTCTCCGCTCCGTAAAAACACCCATTCCTTGGATTTTCAGAGAATTTCCTTTTTTCACTCCCTCATTCTTCTTCTGTCTTGTCTTTTGTTTTTCCTTTCTTCCCTCTTTTCGCACCGCCACTCTTTCACCCGCGGGTCTCGGAGTCGCTGTTATCCGCGCTGAAGTCGCTTTCTTTCTCGGTATCTCCTGCCTCTCGGTCTGTCCGCACAAACAAAATGGCGGCTTGTTGTTTCTACTCCTCTGATACGGGGGAGGGTTGAGGTACAGCAACATTAGGCGTGAAGGGGGGTTGGTGCTCGGGTTTACCCGGAAAATCCTTTCGTATTTTTTCGGAGTTGCAATACTAGTGCTATCATCTGTAGGGGGCAGTCGTGTTCCACCAACATATCAGAATACATTTTAGAGGGCGCTTCGCTTCTTCTCTAGCGATACTAATAACATTATCATTGCGGCAAACGATGCTCATATAGGCTATATCAGGTGTCTCATTTAGGTTGATTTATGACCAACTGTTACAAATAATAAAACTGAATTTTGTTATAACAGCATTTTCAAATAGACATGACTATAACACACACACAAATATACATTTTGTCTTCAACAATAAACTCTTAAATCTCAAATCCCAATATTCCTAATAAATGAAACAATTCTTGCACAATAAAGCCATTCTCTAATGCTCTCCTATCCTGCAAGGAACCTGTGAAATGTATTAGTTTTTTGTGAGAACAGACGTTTTCTATTTTTATAATAGACAAAAAGACAATGAAAACATTACCACATTCAGATCCATGAGGAATAATCAAGTAGTCCTCCAGAAACCCATATAAATAATTGGGGAAAAAGGGGATGCTAGTGAAGATATGGAAGTGGATGTACCACAGCCTGTATTAAATGTTTGCTGCCAGTCAAAAGATACCCTGTGTGTTAAAAAGGTGGATTTTGTGGCGCTCATTGCCACAGTTATAAACTGTACGGCTCAAGTCTCAAAGAAGTCTTAGAAACTGGAGATTATTGTGGCTGTGGCAGAAACGTTTTTGGGATTTAAGGATTTTATACTGAACAAAAATATAAACCAACAATTTCAAAGATTTTACTGAGTTACAGTTCATAGAAGGAAATCAGTCAATTAAAATAAATTCATTAGGCCCTAATCTATGGTTTTCACATGACTGGGCAGGGGCGCAGCCATGGGTGGGCCTGGGAGGGCATAGGCCCACCCACTGGAGAGCCAGGCCCAGCCAATCAGAATGAGTTTTCCCCACAAAAGGGCTTTATTACAGACAGAAATACACCCCACCCCTCCTCAGACGATCCTGCAGGTGAAGAAGCCAGATGTGGAGGTCCTGGGCTGGCGTTGTTAAACGTGGTCTGCGGTTGTGAGACGGTCGGATGTACTGCCAAATTCTCTAAAACGATGTTGGAGGCAGCTTATGGTAGAGAAATTAACAGTCAATTCTCTGGCAACAGCTCTGTTTGGACATTCCTGCAGTTAGCATGCCAATTGCACGCTCCCTCAAAACTTGAGACATCTGTGGCATTGGGTTGTGTGACAAAACTACACATTTTAGAGTGGCCTTTTATTGTCCCCAGCACAAGGTGCACCTGTGTAATGATCATGCTATTTAATCAGCTTCATGATATTTAACACATTCAGGTGGATTGATTATCTTGGCAAAGGAGAAATGCTCACTAACAGAGAGATAAACAAATTTGTATACAAAATTTGAGAGCAATAAGCTTTTTGTGTGTATGGAAAATTTCAGGGATCTTTTATTTCAGCTCATGAAACAAGGGACCAACACTTTATATGTTGCGTTTATAACCCTGTTTCTATCCCGCACAGTAGGTGGCGGGATGCACATTAAATTGTGCAATCGCCAATTTACAGAAGACGAAGAACCCACTGAAATGTGACCCGTCACTCATCTTGAGAGGGATGAACACTCACTCTTGCTCACACTCAGCATTTTGAGGAGTGTGTACAGTCACCCTCCCCATGTCTAGTCTCTCTCAGCCCTAACTCTGTGCACAGGCTCTTTCAACATCAGCAATGGTTTTGGGTGTGTCAGAGGACAGGATCAAGGGGTTTATCTCGTCTTGAATCACAACGTCGTCCTCTATTCTCACCCCAAGTCCACGGAATCGCTCAGGAACCTGGTCATCGTCCTCACATATGTACAGCCCTGAAAGAGAGAGATGGACTGGAGTGTAGTCACTTGATGCATTCATGCACACACATGCATTAAACACTGGAACAGTAGTGCTTCAGTATTTGTGTAGGAATCTCTGGCTGTTTCACTGGGAAGGCTGGGTTTACACTCCACAAAGCATTCTCCTTAGCAAAACATAATGATGCTTGTGTAAAGTTACAAATTCTACCATGCAAACTATGTGGAGCCCACCGTGCGGCGAGTGGTTCAGTAATAAAGCGGTTGCCTCTACGGAGTACACCTAGTGGAGTGTTAATCCAGCCTAAAAAGTGCACAGTTTCTCAAAGTTTGTCAATCAGTTGAATATGACTAATATGAAGAACTGAACTGTGTGAGTGAATGAGAGAGATTGTACCCTGGCTCTTGTATACAGTACCTGGCTCTATAGTGATTGCCATTCCAGGCTGGAGGGGCTGAGACCGGGAAAGCTCAGGGGTATCGTGCACATCCATGCCCAGGTAGTGACCAACATGGTGGGGGCAGTAGTGCCGCGCCGCCTGGAAGCAGCAATACGGGTCACCGAACCAACAAACAACACTGCATGTTCAAGCTCTGCACTCAATGTTCCAATATCTCACGTAAAACTAATCATTCCATGTGCTGGTAAAGTTACCTTCCATTACAAATCTAGATTTATCTATGGTCAAGTTTCAGTTTGAGAAATGTAAGTTCATTTATTACTGCTGGTATTCATCTACTTGGTTATCTATCAATGACATATAATATTTGCTTTTCAGGAGGGAAGGATGAGTGTTGGTCCCATAAGTGCAAATAAAAATGTATCTACTAAAATTACCACAGTTAGACTTGTGTATGTCGCAAATTCTATTGCGTTCTTATTCAATTAGCATATCTGCTAATATGCTAAATAAACCTGCTCAACTGGACAACATTTGGTTGGAGTTCACTATTAATCTTCATATTGAGGAATTTGCTAGTCAGGATTGTTAGCAAATATTTCATCAATTGTTTAGCATAAATTGTCTCCCGAGTGGCGCAGTGGTCTAAGGCACTGCATCACAGTGCTAGCTGTGCCACTAGAGATCCTGGTTCGAATCCAGGCTCTGTTGTAGCCGGCCGCGACCGGGAGACCCATGGGGCGGTGCACAATTGGCCCAGCATCGTCCAGGGTAGGGGAGGGAATGGCTGGCAGGGATGTAGCTCAGTTGATAGAGCATGGCGTTTGCAACGCCAGGGTTGTGGGTTCGATTCCCACAGGGGGTATGAAAAAAATAATGTATGCACTAACTGTAAGTCGCTCTGGATAAGAGCGTCTGCTAAATGACTAAAATGTAAATTTAATAAATTCCTTGTGTTATTACACTTCAATTCGCAATGCAAGTATTTTGAAAGAGCACAGCTGCTCAATCAAATGTACATTAAACTTTGGTTTGGCTTGCTTTCTTCCCTTTTCCCAGAGTTGAACTGCTACAGGAAAGTGGTACCTCGATTATAGGTAGTACACAGGGATATTGTGCTTTACGAAGCGTGTAATTAGGTCACTACTTTACAGTTTAAATGGGCCAGAAGACGTTATGGTCATTTCCTGACCACAGACCATCGGAGAGAGCAAAGTAAACACAAAATATCAAATGTTCCTGGATTCATTGCCCAGAAAATATTTTAACTGTTACTGATAGGGTCCCTTCTTTCAGTTCTGTGTCTGCCTTTTATTTTGACATATATATTTATTATTGTCACATACACCGGATAGGTGCAGTGAAATATGTTGTTTTACAGGGTCAGCCATAGTAGTACAGTGCCCCTGGAGAAAATTAGGGTTAAGTGCCTTGCTCAAGCGCACAAACAGATTTTTCACCTTGTTGCCCTGCAATCATGGGTAGGCCTAACACTTTATAATAACGGTCAGTAATAAACCATTTATAAGGCATTTACAAACAGTTTGCTCACCATTTATTAATCATTACTCCAACATTAGTACATCAAACTACTACCACAGTGTGATTGTTTTGGAATAAAAATGTTCAATATATTTCCTTAAACATCCTGTGTTGTGTTCGTATTCTTTTAACATTGACATGTTCTAGGCCAGGTTTTCCCAAACTAGGTGTCGCGACCCCATGTGGGGTCGCCTGATTTGAAGTGGGGTCGCGAGAGAATTCGCGTTTAGTTCATAGATCCAAATGTTATCTTTAGCCTGTGGACTTTTACTCTGGAACTAGTATGCATTTAAATTTGCATTACTTGGCCTAGGCCTATTTGTGATTATGTGCAACCTCATAGGCCTAATATTTTAGATCGGAGTCTTAGAAAATGTATGATTATTTCTCACGTTGATCGTTAGGCTACAAACTAACATGTTGCTGTTGCTATTGTCTACCCTTGACTCTTACACTGAGGATGATGAATTTAGGGCCTGATGCCCCATAAACGCGGAGAGATTTTAGTGTTTTTACCATGTTGCGTCCTGGGAGGAACCATACGCTTGCCCGGCTATTGCACCGGAGAACTCTGCATGTTTTTCCCAATCGACACGGCAGAAACCGCACGCTTGCGTTTGCATGTCTGGATTGTTTTTTCGGTAATTAACCATGTCTCTGGACTGTACGCACCTTTTCAAATCGGTGGTGTTAAAGACTGGTTCTAGTACTGTCTGAATCTAAATGTAAAATCCCATCTAGACTTGTCATTATTTTGCTGCTTTTACTGTCAGGAAATGTGCAATCTAACCCAGGTCCTGACATTTCTACCCCATCTGAATTAAAAAGGTCAATGGTCTGAAGTTTCTGCACATAAATGTAAGAATTTAGGATTATAAAGGACCTAAATGGTTTATTACTGAACGTTATTAGTATTAAAGTGTTTGTTATCTAATTGGGTTTTTGATAAACAGCATTAGCCTCCAATACCCTTTCCTAGCCATTGAGTCTCCGTAGTTAAGTCCCCTTAAGCCACAAAATATAACCTATTACTTTCAATTAAATATTACTATTATAACATTTGTTAATAAGTGATATATTATCATTTAAGTTGATGCTAAACACCCTTCAGTTATCAATGCATGCATTTGATACCATTATCAGTTAACTTGGACATGGAGTTATTTTCTCCAACCATGGAACTACTTTGAGCAGGACACAGCGACACTGAGCGTACCTTAAGTGCATCAGCATCACTGGTGGAGCCCTTCACGATGCCCAGCTGTTTGAGTAGGCGTCCCAGCAGGGCCAACATGGTGCTGTAGATGTGGTCCAGACTGACTCCTGGGGAGCACAGAGACAGACAGGCCTTCTGCACCTCCAACACCCCCTCATACAACTCTGCCTGGGCAGGGCTGAACCTGGGCTCACCATGCAAGAGAGGGGTAGAAAAGGAGACTTCATTAAAAGGAGGTAGCGAGGAGAGAAGGAGTGAACATCCAAAATGTTATCTTTGTTGATGCAACTTACTTCCCGTTCACTGGCCAGGTGCGAGTAATATCACTGACATAACAAAAGTATTCACACCCTCCATCAAGTAGCACCATCTCCCCATTCTGAGAGAAAGAAAAGGCAAGGAATTGGGCAAAGTCTTGTTTGTCTGGACACAAACAGAGTTACTGGTATAGATGTAGTATGTACCATCGTTTGAAATGTTAGGATTTCATCTTGGCAAAACCGGGGTGTTCATAATTCTAAAACTCTTCTGACCTCAGAATTGTGGGCCCACATTTAGCAGCAACATTACATATGTCCCTTCACCTTGACAATCTGGTTGTTGTTTATGTAATGAAGTGTATTGGCTCGATTTCCACCAGCAACCACGGGAGGATAGGCCAAGAAATTGGCTCCATGGGCACGGCACTCAAAATCAAACTGGGATTGAGAAAGAGATTCACATTAGCATTTCATCATTGTCGTTGCTACCACAGGTGTTAAACCATATTTTCAATGACAACACACCATATTTATAAACAGTGTCTAGAGACCTGTAACTCACCTTAGCATACAGTAGAGCTTCATCAATGTCTCCTTGAGACATACCCATAGTCTTCTTGAATGCCTGAAAGAGGGGATGCAGAGGGTTTACATGAACAGTTGAGAGTGCTTCACTCATGGCGTGTGTGTGAGGTGACTCACCTGTGCTGTGATGCGACCAGCCTCCTTCATGAGAGCCACCTCGGCTGGGCTCTTGAGGGCCCTGAGGGAGTGTGTAAGGGGTCTGAGAGAGCGCACCATGGGCCCCCCTTCCAGAAGGGGCCGAACATGGGTCTGGTGGAGCCCAGGGTGGCAGGGCTTGGAGCCATCATACCACACTGTGCTACCTGAGAGAGGGGGAACAATCAGAGTAAAATTGTTAGTGATATAGTTTGTCTAATTTCTTTACATCACTTTGAAATGGTTGAAACAGCTGCATTTGTTCGGAATTGTCACGCCCTGGCTCTGGGGACACTGTTATGTTGAGCCAGGGTGTGTAGATTTCTGTGTTGTAGTTCTAGGTGTTTCATTTCTATGTTGGCCAGTGTGGTTCTCAATCAGAGGCAACGAGTGTCAGCTGTGGCTGGTTGTCTCTGATTGGGAACCACATTTAAACAGGCTGTTTTCCCACAGTAGTTGTGGGATCTTGTTCTAGTTGGTTTGTGTTAGACCGTGAACTGTCACGTTATCGTTTTGGTCATGTATCGCTAAATAAAGAGTATGTTTGCCTGCAACGCTGCGCCTTGGTCCTCCTCTGTATACGACGATCGTGACAGGAATGAAAATTAGATCCACAATTTGGAGCTACGTTCCAGGCTTCTAATCCCTAATCTTTCATCCCAAGAGTAACATTTACTCTAAAATATATATGTTCAAATTACTTTCCCCTTGTTACCCCCTACCTTTAAGGCTTTTGAGTACAAGTCCCAACTCTTCTGTGCAGTGGACCCTCTCCACCCCCGTCAACGCTGCCGCCCCGTCCTTCCCTGACCTGGGCCCGTCCCACAGCTCCCTGGCCGGGTCCCTGCGGGGAACGAAGAGGATGGCTTGGTCCGGGCGGCCGGTACCACACAGAACCAGGGCGCTGTCTGGCTCGAGGATGCCTGTGAGATAGAGGAAGTCCTGGTTCTGGTGGAAGGGGTAGGGGATGTCATTGGTCATGTAGCGGATTGGGTGGGAGAGGACAATGACGAGGTGTTTGTTGGACGAAGCAGTGGGTCCCAGACGATCTGCCTGAACCTCGATGAGAGAGGCCAGTCTTTGCCGACGGAGATCAAACTCTGTTTGGGTTAAGCCAGGGGTCACCTCACCTGTGACAGAGAGCAGGAAGGGGAAGAAGAAGCTATAAACCCACCATTCAAAACTCCCTGAAGCGACTGCACTGTACTACAAAACAGTATTCGTACCCATAGGTGGTGGTTGTGAATAAGATAACAATGAGCTTTGATTTTGGGTAAATGCTGTAGAGTAACTGATTGGCAGAAATGGGACATAGCTGTATGCCCATGAGTACATTCACAATTTTTGATGAGGTGTGGATGAGTGAAGGGGCTTAGCTGGCCGAGGTATCTTGGTGGAACCTTCTGCGGTTTCCACCCTCCTGGTTTAACGGAGACATTCCGGCATGGGCACCACAGATGACCTGCAGAGAGGTTTCCAGTGAAGGAAAAGTTAGCAAATAAATTCACAGTTCTTTTTCACCTACTTACAGAATATTGCACAATCAGCTGGCCATACAATTCTACATTTTTAAAAACTTAAACATGACATTATAAGTTGATTCTATAATAAAAGTAAGACATATCATTGGGGAATAACATGCATTATGCTTTCCATCTTGCCGAGGCAAGCATTTGTGTTATACAAACATACAATGTGAAATTGGCTTGCATAAGTCATAGGGAAGATCTCAATTGCATACTCCTCACGTCCTCTCTCCTCGTCTCCTTAAACCCCATTGGATGAGAAAGCAAGAGGTCCCGCCCCTCGGACCTTCTCCTCCAATAGGTTTTGAGAAGAGGACGCCAGGAGTACACAATTGAGATCTTCCCCCTGATTTTCCCCCTGACTACAGTAGTTAGATAAGCTCATTTGTATGGACAGTAACCAGATATGAAAATGACCTTTTAACATTGTAATAAATTAAATACAAATAACCAAATATTTCACCGCTCACCTTGACACCAATTGGATAGCCGATCTGGTCAAAATGATAGGTGAGGGCAACATTGTTGCAAATCGGTCAGACTATCAGCGACAGTTAACTCCCACCACCATGATGTCCACAAGTGGTGGCGCTAAATTATATTGAGGTATACACAATTACATCAAATAGAAATACTTTAGCAGACTAAAAATCAAACATAAACTATATCAAATGACTACCTCTTCATACGACAGCCAACGAACAACATGTGAAAATGTGTGACTGTATCATGTAGATAAATGCGCCTGTCTGCCGTGCTTGTGAGGTGACAGGTTTCAGCCTCCCCTGTAAAACAATCGTTACCATTGGTGGAAGTACAATGTGAGGTTTTTGATTGGTTAGCAATTATATGACCTCTTTTGTTTGCGACTTGATCCATTCACGCAGGACCTCCTCGCTTGTTTTGTTTGTCATAGGGTTCTATCTAATTAATGCCTGCGTTAAAAAAATAAACGGACCCAACATACACCATCGACTAGTTATTTAAAGCGATTGTTGTGGAGGCTTGGTTGCACCCCTCTATTCGAAGCTATCCGTCGTTGAAGATCTGTCTGGTCATACAGGTAGCTAATCTAACCCTCATATACTTTGTTTTATTGGAAATAATTAGCCTTTCTGGTTTGTTTTCTCTGATTTTATCATGCTTTCAAATAATCCCCACGGCATGGCTAACTCGACAGAATTCGAGAATATTCTATCCTCACAATCCATGCTACATGTGCCCTGGGACAAACTATGTTTTCTGAGATAAAGGAGTTAGCTAGTTTATTAATAATACTACGTGAGGCTATGCACCACATGTGTATGCTATCAATGCTAATATTTAACTAGCGTGCAAGCTACCTAGCTAGCAGTTACATTTTTACCACCTCTTTAAGGAATACCTGGGATAGGATAAAGTAATCCTTCTACCCCCCCACCCCCCCAAAAAAACAAAAACATTGTAAAGTGGTTATCCCACTGGCTATAAGGTGAATGCACCAATTTGTAAATCGCTCTGGATAAGAGCGTCTGCTAAATGACGTAAATGTATTGTACTTCCTCGCACTTTCTTGTTGTGTAGCGTGTGCTGGACCTGTGAAGTGAGAATGGACCCGCGGAAAGTGCATGAGTTGAAGGCCTTCGTGAAGTTGTGCGACGAAAATCCCTCCATATTGCACCTTCCCGAGCTCGGCTTCCTCCGGGCCTGGTTGCAAGGGTCAGTTGATAATCCTTCTGTTTATCGCACAGCGTCAAGCGTGCACTTGCTCTTTATCGTCAAAAGTAGCGGGCCACTATCTGTTAGGAGTCGGATCAACCCATGTTCAAAACCCGGTTTATTCTCCGGATATCAATAGTATTAGCGTTAAATGATTGAGGTCATTGTTAATGCATTCTCATGTGATTTTTGTTGTTGTTGCCAATAGCCTACTGTTCAGAGTACTTTCAACATCTGCTTCCCCAACTACCCAGAACGGGAATGCCGCAGTCACACCCACACACTGCTGCTAAATATCAGACATATTTCGCTCTCTGTCTATGTCAGTACAAAGTACTGTATTCGTTTAAGAAAAAAACAGAAATTCCTACTGTACTAAGTAATACGCCAAAATGTACTGGCTGCAGTTGGCAAAATTGAAAGGCGCATATTGGAGAGAATGAAAAATTGAAAGAAGGTTCTGTCTCTTTTTTTTCCCAGATTGGGAGCTACAATTCCACAAGCCCCCCAAAATGACTCTTCATGCAAGGTATAAGTATGACTTGTTTCATATATCCATTCAGTTGCTATATTTGACAGCCTACCAGTACAGTTAAGCCAATAAAACTTCTTAATTTCAGGGTGGGTGTCCATGTGCTGGAGCTCCTCCCCCTGCCTCTGCTCCTGAGCCCCATGCCCCCTCTGAGAGTGAGGAGAGTGAACTAGGTACGTCCATGGCAGCATTCTCACACCTGGCCCACACATTTTCCCACAGTCACCCATTGAGTTCGAAAAGGAAATGGGTACACAGGCCAAAGATTTATCGTCCTCTGAAAATGAAATTATTTTTTAGACTCTCACACCATATCAATAAATCATCACCCAGACATTTACAGTTCCATTCCATCTCATAAATTCAGTGATGCAGTGAAGACCGCAGATCAACAAACAATACGTTGCATGACCACACAGTCTGTAATGTTGCCTTATAAACTGATTGCCAAGCTCTTGAGCAATGCTTATACAACAACGGAATTAGAGGCTAAAGTCCTTGATGGATCCCCTTGCTTCTTCAGAGATCGACCAAGATGGGGTGATTGAGCCAGACACAGACGAACCTCAGGAGATGGGAGACTTTGAAAATCTGGAGGTGAGAATATTTGTTGTTATTTATATAACATAAGGATGGGAGAGTGCATGGAAGTGCTTTTCATTTGGGGAGTTTCTGCAGATGAGAACTTATGAGAAATGCATCCAGTGAGCATGCAAGCCCTGAAGAAGACTGCTTGAAATTTCCCACCCAAAGCAGAAGACCACATGGCATCTCATATGACTTGCAGATAAATAGTGTGTTCTTGTTAGGTGACAGAGGAAATGATGGACCAGGCCAACGAGAAGAAGATGGAAGCTATCGAAGCGTTAGGAGAAGGTGGGTTGGTTGTTTTACATTTTAGTCATTTAGCAGACGCTCTTATCCAGAGCGACTTAGTTAGTGAGTTGTTCTGAGGTTCTTGCATTGACATTGCACTGACCTTGTAGTAAATCGGGAAGACATTTTAATAACAAATGGTTATAATTATCACTTTTTGGTGCTGTCAAATACAGGTGACTTGCAGAAAGCCCTGGACCTCTTCACTGAAGCCATCAAACTCAATCCACGGGTAGCTATCATGTATGCCAAGAGGGCAAGGTGAGTCCCACTGCTAGACTTAACAATGCCATACCACATGATGTGCTCTAGTACATGATCACTTAGACTGACGTATGTTCTTTGCCAGCGTCTACATCCGGATGCAGAAACCCAATGCAGCTAAGCGGGACTGCGACAGAGCCATTGACATCAACCCAGATTCTGCACAGCCCTACAAGTGGAGGGGGAAAGCTCACAAGTATGCTGCTAGATAGGCTGCATATTCAAGTTCATCACAGACACAATGCAGTTGTATATGATTTATAAGTAATACAATATAGGGGTGTGCCGAGTAGGCTCTGTCGTAGCCGTCCGCGACCAGGAGACCCATGGGGCGGTGCACAATTGGCCCAGCGTCGTCCAGGGTAGGGGAGGTAATGGCCTGCAGGTATGTAGCTCAGTTGGTAGAGCATGGCGTTTGCAATGCCAGGGTTGTGGGTTCGATTCCCACGGGGGGCCAGTATGAAAGAAAAAATAAATAATGTATGCACTAACTGTAAGTCGCTCTGGATAAGAGCGTCTGCTAAATGGCTAAAATGTAAATGTAGTCGGACAAAACGAGTATCGTAAGGGATATGGGCAATTTTCTGGAAACGATTTGATCAGAGTATTTACTTTTCATTATCCGTAATCGGAAAAAAATACATTTTCAAGTGTCGGCACACATCTTTCTCAAGTCAGTCAGTCATGTGCGAGGTTCTACATGGTCTAAATAACTCAACTGGCTGTCTGTAAAGAAAAGGGTGGGCTGTACGTTGATCATACTGCTCTGATTGGATATAGTGAAGTTGTATTTCTCTGTCCACTCACGTCATAAATTCACCAGATCAGTTTTCCTTGCATGTTTTCGGTCTGATCATTTAGATAGCTGCTGCCTGCTACTATGATAAATCACATGGCGAGGACATTTGCTATCAAGCTATCAATGTGCATAATATCTAACATGGTTAGGGGGAAAAAATATGAAATGCTGATGCGCATTCTGACTGAGTGTCAGCAAACTTGGCTGCCCGCTGCAAGTTGAGGACACAGACACACACCTCCCCGCGCTGCTCCTAATCTGCAGTGAATGTGCAGGGAGGTATTTTGCCAACATCTACTAAGGCATATTAAAACACTTCTGCTTTTTCCGGTCACGAGTATCCTCCGATCTGACTATCAACTGTCAATTTACGATTACGAATAAATAGTATGGCCATTTTGGCACACCCCTAATACAATACTTTGATAATCACATTTTGAGTCTCCTTCTTCTTTGTGCGTCAGGTTGCTGGGGCACTGGGAGGAGGCAGCGAAGGACCTGGCCACTGCCTGCAAACTGGACTACGACGATGACGCCAGCACCATGCTGAAAGAGGTCCAGCCCAAGGTACCCAGCCACTGACTTTTTCATACCTGAGCAGTTTCAAGGTTGTCTGGTCAATCAGTGTGTTCTGGTCTGACTTTCAACTCATGCTCTTTCACTCCTTAGGCTAACAAAATCATTGAGCACCGGCGCAAGTATGAGCGCAAGCGGGAGGAGCGAGAGATCAAGGACAGGAAGGAGAGGGTAAAGAAAGCAAGGGAAGAGCATGAGAAGGCTCAGAGGGTGAGTGTTTGGTGCAAGAACAGAGGAGAACGACTAAGAATTTCAAAATAAAGGGTCTCAATTAAATAAATAACTCTGCACAGGAGGAGGAGGCTAGACAAGCAGCAGGAGGAGGTGGCTTCCCAGGATTCCCAGGTATGAGATGAAATGTCTTGATGAGAAGTTGATTAGCTCAATCAGGTTTGTTAGTGCAGGGCTTGAACAAAGGCCTGTAATTTCTGGCCCTATAATTCTCCAGTATCACGATCACTCAAGGGTCCATTGGAGCCCTGTAATCGCATTAATCGTGTGTTCCTTGTCTCATGCTGTAGGTGCTGGCGGTTTCCCAGGTGGTGCTGGCGGTTTCCCAGGTGGGGCTGGTGGCGGTTTCCCAGGTGGGGCTGGTGGCGGTTTCCCAGGTGGGGCTGGTGGCGGTTTCCCAGGTGGGGCTGGAGGCGGTTTCCCAGGTGGGGCTGGAGGCGGTTTCCCAGGTGGGGCTGGAGGCTCTCCTTTCGGCATGCCTGGTCTGGGAGAGCTCTTTAACGATCCGGAGGTGCTCAACGCCATGAAGGTACGACAATCCTTACATTTCACCTGAAGTCTTACAGTTAGCCCTTGGATTCCATGTCAGTATCCATATCTAATCCCATCTCTCTTGTGTGTTGTCTCCAGGACCCTGAGGTGATGGCAGCTTTCCAGGACGTGGCTCAGAACCCAGCTAACATCGCCAAGTACCAGGGTAACCCCAAGGTCATGGCCCTCATCACTAAGCTGAGCTCCAAGTTTGGGAGCCCTTCGCCCTAGAGGAGAGGAGGTGACGAAATGAGGGGCGATTAAAAAGAGGGGAGCGGGAAGAAGAACGAGTGGCGGGAGAGTAGCAAATGGATGTAGTCAGGTGTCGGGAGAGCTTAAAAGCTTCTTTGAGATGATTCCACTGTGTATGGATCAAATGGGTAATGTTGATGGGCAAATGGGTAAAGAGGAGACTAGAGGCATGCAGTAAGTTTTACACTAGACAAGGGGGGGGGGGGTCAACAGCAACTCTTATACTGTATGTTCTTAAATGGAGCCCACCTATTCGGGGCTGTTAGCATTTTGTGGTTACTCAAGCCAACTCATGGACACTGATGGGAGCACTACTGGTTAATGATGGAATCAAAACAGCCTGTCAGAGCCTTCTCATTCAGAATTCCCACCCACCCCATCCCTTGTTTTTTTACCTGAATCTGGAATAGTCAAACAGGACTCACACATTAGACACCAGCGCAGAGGAACATTTTAGAGACATTATTATATGGAGTTGTCATCTTCTGTGTTCTCTACTGAGCCAACCAAAACAATGGCTGTTTGTCTTCTATCAGGAGTGGATGTGGTAAAGCTATTTCCCTCAGGTTTTCTGTTTTACTCACCTTCACTGTAACGTACATTTTTTTCATGTCTGACTCTCCTTCCAAATGCAAGTTTAAAAAAATATTACTATTTTGTTTGATTTTGAAACCGTAATGGAAATATCAATTCAAATCAATAAATATTTGGTTGTTGCAAATATTTTGTCATGGTTATTTTAATCAGATGAGTTGGTTATTAAAATGTAAGTTCCCATTATTCCCCATGGTGAATACAGACCATGGCATTAGGAAAACGTTGCTTCATTTCACCAGTTCTGAATGCCCTTGGTGCATTTGTCAATTAATTCCCAATTTCTCATTCAACTACCTGTCAAGAGGCACAGGGCGTGTACATTTTTGGCGATCAGAATGCCTCCTATCACATTTGTATATATCCACCAGTGGAGGCTGGTGAGGGGAGGACAGCTCATAGTAGTAGCTGGAATGGAGTAGATTAAATGTAACGCGTGGATGGAGTGTTTCATGCCATTCCAGCCATTACTATGAACCATCCTCCCCTCACCAGTCTCCCATGATACCCCCTGTATGAATGGAGGCAAAGTTGGTTCCTGTTTCAGTCATGCATTTGGTCATGTGGGTCAAACAAAAACAACCTAACATATTGGTTGACAATAGAGCCTCCCACAATGCAGGCGATGGCTGCAGGATGAAGTTGTTGAAGAGCAAGACATGTAGGCAGGCGCAAGTCGGACAATTTGATTTGATTCGACATGTAGGCAGGCGCAAGTCGGACGATTTGATTTGATTCGACATGTAGGCAGGTGCAAATCGGACAATTTTGTATCCCCATAATGCTTCGAAAGGCGGTGACCATCATTGCAGACGATTTTAAAAGCAAGGCGTGACTTGACTAATTTACAAATCACCTTGCATCATAAATAACTACTTAATATTATTTTTAGATCAGTCAATCGGTCACAATTTACCCATGATGGATCACAGTTTTGATGCTCTAGAACACAACCAATAACCACGTTTCCATCCACAGTTTCATGTTTAAAAAAAAATCATGACAGCTCTGATGGAAACAGGAAGTTTCGGTACATTTTAATATGCTACAGATATTTTGTTAGTTGGACATGGTGGATATTTTTGTGAAAATAGCGATGGAAACGCCTTTATGCGCGAATATTGATACAAAAAATAATATCAAAGTAAATTTGGAAACCCGATGATATGGTGTGTGGTCCTTCCACTACGACTCCGGAAACCATGCAGTTTATTAGGCTAAAATGAAATAATTTATGAACTTCAAAGGGTGGTGAAAGTGCACGGTGATCTTGATGCTCCTTTCCAATAAATATTGAGGGTCTGATTCTGGTGACATCATGATCGATGCTTGACTGCTGTTTGACAAATCCATAATTATCCATAATCTAATTGTGTAGGCTATAGGCTACATAATGAGTTCATCATAATTAATTTAATCTGTAGCATAATAAACTCCACGCTTTCCCGACGAGTCATAGTGAGAGGACCATACGTCATCACGTGATTCCAAGTTTACTTCATTAATATTTGCACATAAGTGTTTCTACCGACATTTCTCGCATAATTAATTTTACCAACACCTAGCGTATTTTGTTTTGTCGACATTTGGAAAGTTTACCATAAAATGTTCAGTTTCCATCAGGCCTGTCAATACATTTCTTTATCCGCCATTTACTTTACTCGCATAAAAAGGTTGGATGGACACCTGGTTACTTGTGGGAAAATGCGCATATTTCCTTTATGCGGATTTTAGAATATAAACATGAAAATCTGTCGTCAATTGGATGGAAACCTAGCTACTGACTAATTGGGCCTTGTGGCCTCCAGCCTGTACCGCAGGTGCTCACACTGCTGTGGCCAGGCCAGGGCTGGCCTGCTAATCTTCCCTGGCTATTGGTCTTCCTGCTGTGGATTACCACATTGTTTCACGTGGGACCAGTGTCTAAAGCCTGTTCCCAGTCGAAACAGTTCGCGAATATATTAAGACGACATTTTGTGACGTTTTTGTTCGTTTTTCTGTTAGGCAGGGTTTTTTTCGGCTGTTCGTGCACACACTTTTCTTTGTTGAGGCAAATCTAAATTCGGTAGTCGGAGTCTACGCCCCGACGATTGGTCAACAGTACTACTCCGAGTAGGAGTGGTTTAAACCGGGTGAAAAGTGATTGCATTCGTTTTGGAACGGGTTTGCATCCTGGGCGTGAGCCAGGTGCCCGCTCTGGCTGACAGTGAAGTCGGCTCAAAACAAAAGTGACATAATTAAGCACATGGAGTGACGAGTAGGATTCTGTGTTTTTATATGCAAAAAAACGCTTTATCTGCCATCCCAATGAAAACTAGTTTGAAAATTCAAACATTTATTTTATGTAAAAGAGAAGATGGACCATGCTGCCTTATTGACAATATGACCAAACTGGCGCTGACTACTGTTTGATTTGAAAAGGACGCTCCTCCCTGCTTTCGCCAAATGTGATAGGTCATTGCCCGGTTCATCCTGGGCCAGAGTAATAGAACTCCCTCAGTGGGAACTATGGACAGGATTATTTAATGAAGTGTTTGTTGTCATTCAATGAGACTACTAGTTTTCGTGCACATTTGTTCATTTGAGAAATACTGCACCAAACATCTTAGATGTAAAATTGCACATCTAAGACCTCCTCAGCAAAAACATCTAAAACGAATTACAGATTAGCTTAGATTAATTCTGATTATTTTGAAGAAGCTGTGTTGTTGCTATGGCATTGCAAGAGGGACAAACAGTAATATTTCCACTTTAAAAAAGGACTGCCTTTTAAAAAGCAACGAATCCCTTTGTAAGTCGCTCTGGATAAGAGCATCAGCTAAATGACTAAAATGTAAATGTAAAGCGGCCTACGTGGCATCAGGTCGAGTCAGAAACAGTTATTCTAGTGTCAAAATTAACTACAAAGTGTAAATAAGACAATTTTGGTAATACATTTACATTTTAGTCATTTAGCAGACGCTCTTATCCAGAGCGACTTACAGTTAGTGAGTGCATACATTTTCATACTGTAATAAAGTCAGATTTGTCTAAAACAGAGTTTGGAACATTTGTGCGTCACAACAGATAAATAAGGTTGGGTTTTGATTTGAAGATGTCCATTTGGCCACTAACATGGCATGAACAGCTGCGTTGATTGCTTTCTATCCAATAGTATAGACCAGGGTTTCCAAAACTCGGTCCTCGGGACCCCAAGGGGTGCACGTTTTGGTTTTTGCCCTAGCACTACACAGCTGAAGGGAGTATGCGAGGCACAGACGTTAGCTGTGTTCGAATACCCATACTAACATACATAATGAGTATATACTACATACTATTAGTTCATTTTAGTATACTGTAAACAAACAGTATCCTTTCAGTTGAGCGTACTAGCGCTTCGCCTGTCTACAGGAAGTTGATGGTACAATATTTCTCTACACTATCCTATCTTATTTTCTCACAAACTGAAATTAGGCGAACTATTAGTTTTAGCAACCAGGAAATGGCAGAGCGATTTCTGCATAGTGCAACTAAGTGATGAACCATTTCATCTTACAAAAATGTCTAGTTCATTTGTCTTTCAGTCAATGATGTGTAACTTCCAACACGAAAAAAAACCCCATTCAAAATAATATTAGAAAAATCCCTTAAAATTGTATTTCTATGTCTAGTCCTCAATTCAAATCGAGGCAGTAACACAGAACATTGTTGTTTATTTATAATTTACAACATTGCAAATTCAACTTTAAAAACGTTGTTTTCCAGCTAGCCTAAAACAATGAGACGGGGGGGGGGGGGAGTGTCCTCAGTATTTGCAATGTCCTCAAAGTGGAGTCAATCATACCAAGGAGAAAGCAACAGTAAGCATGAAACTTGCAGAAGCCCAAGTAATGGTCCAGAGTCTTGCACCTAGTGTCCATATCTGTAAGAGGGAAAGGGAGTGTTAGTTATTAACTGTTTGACATACACAACCCATCTTCTATACAATTTGAGGCGGCGGAATAATGCATTAGCACCAGAAACACAGACACATGGCTTTTGTTTTTTTCAGCCATCTACTTCCCCAAAAGGCACGCATACTGCAGCTCTGATTGACTGCAGTTTAGCTAGGACCAGAGTAGTGTTTTGAATAAGTGTTATGTATAAAATGATGATACTCACTTCTGAAACTCCCACTCCCTGTTGTCTAGGGGGCACACCTGCCTGGTCTTCAACCAACGGGAGATACAGTGGAAATGGAATGCATGCTTGGAGAGGAGAAGATACGATTGACATAACAGCAAACCAAGACAATAGCTGTGTTCGAATACACATTCTAACATAATGTATACTATATACTTAATGAGTATATACACTAGTTCATTTTAGTATACTGTAAACGAAAGGCCTCCTTTCAGTTGAGCATACTAGTGCTTCGCCTGTCTACAGAAGTTGATGCTGTTGCTATGCAACCTCTTGCTAGTGCGCTCTGAGCGGAGTTCCAGAGTGCGCTCTGAGCGTTCGTAAATCCAGAGCCTTGTCAGATTGTCCGTTCATAAATTCAGAGTGTTTCGCTCTCAGAGCGCGTCTCTGGAGTAGGGTTGATCCGAGCGTTCTGACCTCACAACGGCAGTCAAGCACCCAAGCTAACGTTGGCTAGCTATTTCAAGACAAATGAGAGAACACCATTTTACTCGCCCTAGCAGAGTTGTTTAGGCTGTTTTCATGTTATTCAGAGAGTTGGTGACTATAACTGTGCTGCTGCCAACAATTTAATAACGTTTTTTTTTGCCTACGTTTACTGAAACCAGCCATATATTAAAACGGGTGTTGAGCATTCGTAAATTCATCAGTTATTCTGCGCTCTGGCACACTCATACGAGTGCTCTGAAATCGGAGCAGATAGCCAGAATTAACAATGTCCATTGAGAAAGCACAACGACTATACCACTTAGCTAAGAATTACGTGAATAATCAAGTCGTGGATAATTATGTGAATAATCAAATAAACGTTGGGTAGTTCGTTTGATTATAGTTAATATACTGCCTGGCAATTCAATGTATTAGTAGCCAACTAACGGTAGGTAACTAGCTAACATACTACATTTACATTTTTGTCATTTAGCAGACGCTCTTATCCAGAGCGACTTACAGTTAGTGAGTGCATACTACCGGTACATACTGCTGTAATGCTATGCGGTTCGTAAGGATAGTGTAGCTAACAAATTGTCAGCCAACATAACTTATTTGAAAAGTCATTACTTTATTACATTTCTGAACATTTTCTTAACATTTGTCATAATTAGTTAAAGCAAGGAATTTGTATCCGCTCTCGGACTTCGGCTGCATATTTTCCGCCATTTTCTTCAAATCTGAAAACATTGTGAAGCCACGCCCATTTCCTGAAGAATTGCATCATGGGCCTAAAAGCACAGAAAGCGTCCACTGCTTGTATACTTCGTATTTTGGAGAATTTAGTACGACATACTAACTATATCCGTACTATGACCAATAAGCATACTACATACTCAATTTATGTCACAAATAGTATGGTTAGTATGAGTATTCGAACACAGCTCAAAACATTTTAAAAATTCTATACTTTAAGGGTAGTTCAATATAATGCAGATTAGTTTAGATCATGCTGCTGTTCTTTCAATACTCTCACACTGAACTTGACAATCTAACTGATCAGGATGTATGCAACATATACAAAAGCAAACAAGTCTGACTCACATTGCAGACTCCCCAGGCTACGGTGCACTCCTCTGATGTGGCAGAGGCCTGGTTAGCCTGGCACTCTATGCCTATGGAGAAAAAGAGTAATGTGTCAGAATGTAACACTCACCTTTATTAGTCAAATAATGTTAACAGCATACTCACAGAGATCCATAATGTGATTCCTACAGATAGCACAGTTGTCCACCACAATGTCCCAGGCCCAAAGTGCCACTGCATTCCACTGTAAGGAAGTGTCACATGAAATGACAATCATATCACTGGCAGTTATTGTGTTTGCTTGATATTGCTGTTGTTTCGAATAGGTATTAAAAAGGAGTATATTGTTATTCACAATTTATTAATGTTAATCTGGCGTAAGGAGACATTTAGTCATTAAAATCACTATTGCATTTGGCATTTAAATCAGACAAGTTAGGCCTATTTCAGTATCCACATTGATCACAAACAAGGCACAAGACAAAGGAGAAAATGATAGTGTTTGATATATAATTTTTCAATCATTCAGCATCAATAAATAGACAACCTCACAAGTGCAACTGGGCCTGTCATTTTAGCAAGCTAGTCATTGATTTCGTACAATGTCAATGCATCTAAAACCGAACCTAGTAGTGGTTGGCTAGCTAACGTTAGCTACCATTAACACAAACAGTGATATTAGTTACGTAATTAGGTAGCTATCACCCCTACAAGTGAAATGCAAACTCACTCCCCCAAACAAGGGGCTCCGTCTAGTTACAGCTAGCTCGCGAGCTAGCAAGTTATGCTAACTAATCCCGCGAAGATTGTACCTAAACACGTATTAAGCCTATGGTAATATACAACCTTACAGTATGTCTAAAATGTAGCTATGGTTTATTTGAAAAATAAATACCTTCTTCACTTCAAAACGTTTCTTGCTTGCGCCACTATTCGTGGCGCTTGGGGTATCAACATCCATCGCTGCCGCCATGTTGACTGTCGAACTTTCGTGTGAACAGAGATGTTAGAGAAAGGAGGAGATAGAAATCCCATTGGGCAATGAATGGAAGACTGTATAACGCCCCACCCAGCGGACTGTCGACCAATCGTGTTCACATTGTCATGCTGCGTCACACGCAATCCCTTCTCAAAATCAGCGTACGATGTCGCGTTCAAAACAACTGGGAACTCGGAAATCTCAGATTTCAGTGCGTTCAAAACAACCTCGGCACTCCGAAAAAAATGAGCTCGGACTGGGAAAACCGTTTTGAACGGTCATCCAACTTGGAATTCCAACTCGGGAACTGGGGGCTCTTTCTAGAGCTACGACTTTCCGACCTGAAGATCACTGACGTCATGATTTGACCTCGTATTTTTCCTAGTTCCCAGTTGTTTTGAACATGGCATGGGAACTCGTAAAAATACGAGGTCAAATCATGACATCAGTGATCTTCAGGTCTGATAGTTGGAGCTCTAGAAAGAGGCCAGAGTTGGAATTCAGAGCTCGTTTTTTCCCCAGAGTTCCCAATTGTGTTGAAAGCGCTGAAGTCTGAGATTTCCGAGTTCCAGTTGTTTTGAATGCGGCAAGAGGCCCTAGCTCCCGAGTTGGAATGCCTCTTTCAAAACAACTGGGAACCGGGAATTTGGAAATCTCAGACTTGCGACTTCAGTGCGTTCAAGACAACTGGGAACTTAGAAAAAAATGAGCTCCAACTATGGAAAAGCGTTTTGAACGGTCATCCAACTCGGGATTCCAAGTCTGATCCTCATGCATCTTTCTAGAGCTCAGACTGTCTGACCTGAAAATCACTGAGGTCATGATTTGACCTAGTTTTTTCCCCCCAGTTGTCTTAAAAGCACCATGAATCGAGAAACCTGCCTATTTTCCTCGAAAGTACGTAATGTCACGATTCCAAAGCTATATGATATTACATTTACATTTACGTCATTTAGCAGACGCTCTTATCCAGAGTGACTTACAAATTGGTGCATTCACCTTATAGCCAGTGGGATAACCACTTTACAATATATATATATATATATATATATATATATATATATATATATATATATATATATATATATATATATATATATATATATATTTTTTTTTTTTCTTCTTTGGGGTGGGGTAAGGGGGGGTAGAGGGATTACTTTATCCTATCCCAAGTATTCCTTAAAGAGGTGGGGTTTCAAGTGTCTCCGGAAGGTGGTGAGTGACTCCGCTGTCCTGGCGTCGTGAGGGAGCTTGTTCCACCATTGGGGTGCCAGAGCAGCGAACAGTTTTGACTGGGCTGAGCGGGAACTGTGCTTCCGCAGAGGTAGGGGAGCCAGCAGGCCAGAGGTGGATGAACGCAATGCCCTCGTTTGGGTGTAGGGACTGATCAGAGCCTGAAGGTACGGAGGTGCCGTTCCCCTCACAGCTCCGTAGGCAAGCACCATGGTCTTGTAGCAGATGCGAGCTTCAACTGGAAGCCAGTGGAGTGTGCGGAGGAGCGGGGTGACGTGAGAGAACTTGGGAAGGTTGAACACCAGACGGGCTGCGGCATTCTGGATGAGTTGTAGGGGTTTAATGGCACAGGCAGGGAGCCCAGCCAACAGCGAGTTGCAGTAATCCAGACGGGAGATGACAAGTGCCTGGATTAGGACCTGTGCCGCTTCCTGTGTAAGGCAGGGTCGTACTCTCCGAATGTTGTAGAGCATGAACCTACAGGATCGGGTCACCGCCTTGATGTTAGCGGAGAACGACAGGGTGTTGTCCAGGGTCATGCCAAGGCTCTTCGCACTCTGGGAGGAGGACACAAAGGAGTTGTCAACCGTGATGGCGAGATCATGGAACGGGCAGTCCTTCCCCGGGAGGAAGAGAAGCTCCGTCTTGCCGAGGTTCAGCTTGAGGTGGTGATCCGTCATCCACACTGATATGTCTGCCAGGCATGCAGAGATGCGATTCGCCACCTGGTCATCAGAAGGGGGAAAGGAGAAGATTAGTTGTGTGTCGTCTGCGTAGCAATGATAGGAGAGGCCATGTGAGGATATGACAGAGCCAAGTGACTTGGTGTATAGCGAGAATAGGAGAGGGCCTAGAACTGAGCCCTGGGGGACACCAGTGGTGAGAGCACGTGGTGCGGAGACAGATTCTCGCCACGCCACTTGGTAGGAGCGACCGGTCAGGTAGGACGCAATCCAAGAGTGAGCCGCGCCGGAGATGCCCAACTTCGAGAGGGTGGAGAGGAGGATCTGATGGTTCACAGTATCAAAGGCAGCAGACAGGTCTAGAAGGACAAGAGCAGAGGAGAGAGAGTTAGCTTTAGCAGTGCGGAGAGCCTCCGTGACACAGAGAAGAGCAGTCTCAGTTGAATGACCAGTCTTGAAACCTGACTGGTTTGGATCAAGAAGGTAATTCTGAGAGAGATAGCAAGATAGTTGGCTAAAGACGGCCCACTATTACAGAGAACAAATTAATTATCTCACATCTCGTACAAGATTTGTAATGTTGTACTTCTTGTTGACGAAATTCATGCTAATGTTTTTTTTTGCTATCGCCAAATTGGCGCCTATTCACTTCTTGATGGAGAGCTCTCCTTATCCAAGAATCGCACAGAACACACCGTGCGACCCACTGACGACGTTTCCACTAGACAGTACAGCCACAAAGTCATAATTGACTATATCGTAAAAAGCCATGAAAACAAAAATTAGCTTTTTGGTCTTAATTCAAGATTAGGCATAATGTTAGCAGTATGGTTAAGGTTAGGTTTAAAATCACATTTTAAAGCTGCAATATGTAACTTTTTGGGTGTTGAGGCTCGCATCTACTACAAGACCATGGTGCTTGCCTACGGAGCTGTGAGGGGAACGGCACCTCCTTACCTTCAGACTCTGATCAGACCCTACACCCAAACGAGGGCACTACGTTCATCCACCTCTGGCCTGCTAGCTCCCCTACCTCTACGGAAGCACAGTTCCCGCTCAGCCCAGTCAAAGCTATTCGCTGCTCTGGCACCCCAATGGTGGAATAAACTCCCCCACGACGCCAGGACAGCGGAGTCACTGACCACCTTCCGGAGACACTTGAAACCCTACCTCTTTAAGGAATACCTGGAATAATATTAAGTAATCCTTCTACCACCCCCCCCATAAAAAAAATGAAGAAAAGTGGTTGTCCCACTGGCTATCATAAGTTGAATGCACCAATTTGTAAGTCGCTCTGGATAAGAGCGTCTGCTAAATGATGTAAATGTAAAATGTTATAGATCTGTAATTCTCATTTGAAAGCAAGTCTAAGAAGCGGTAGATCAACAGATATAACAATGAGCCAGATATTTCACCGGATGTATAAATGTGAAGTATCCGGTTGGCATTTCCACTCACTAGCAAATATGGTGATGAGAGGAAACCCAGTGGCCGGCAATGTGAGATGATGGAGCGAAATGGATTTTGGCCGACATTCTGCCATTTTTCTCATAGATGAAACATTTGATCTCAATACAGTTTTCTGTTTCCAAAACTAGAATATGTTACGAACAGGGTGGACTAAGTTTAGTAGACTTTACCCTTTACCAAAGTTTCAAAAAAATTGTGTTCTTTAGAAGGAGTGCAAGGGCGAATTGAGTTATTGCACACGCGCACTTCACAGAGTAGGCGTTTCCTAATGGAAATATGTAAATATATGCTAAAATGCGCCAATAGGATCTCACTAGCTCATTCTTGGCTTTTCCCACCTCGTTGCTTGTTCTGCCCTCTATGATTCATTTGCTCCCATTGGACACGACAAGCTGTGGTCAATCTTGAGTTAGTTATAAACATCTCTGGTAGATCTGTTCTATGTGTGTTATTTCTATGCTTCCCGTTCTTAAGTTTTGTTTTTGCGTCTTTTACATTTGGTTTTGTACACCAGCTACAAACAGCTGAAAATACAATATTTGAATTTTAGCAACCAGGAAATGGCAGAGCAATATCTGCATATTGCACCTTTAAGAAGATAAATTGTAGAAATAGGTGGGGTTTATGACTTTGTGGCTGTGGTAACTACTGACAACACATTGGCAATGTACACAATGGGCATTAATAGGGGTGCCTTCAAGACAGCTAGGAACTCAGAAAAAAATGAGGTAAAATCAGTGATTTTCAGGTCAGAAAGTTGGAGTTCCAGAAAGATGCCAGAGTTTCCGACTTGGAATTTAGAGTTGGATGACCATTCAAAACAATTTTCCCAGTCGGAGCTCGTTTTTCTCCCGAGTTCCCAGTTGTCTTAAATGCACTTAAGTCGGAAGTAGGAGATTTCCGAGTTCCCCGTTGTTTTGAACGCAGCATACAATTTCAAAGGAGTTTCCCATCTCCTCAAAAGTATATCTTAACAGTGGCCAAGGTTCTGTCCATGTAGGCCCACTCTCAGAGAAGATTAGTACCAGCAAAAGAGCAGAGAAGTCAGGTTCTACCGAGATTTGATTCAGATCGCTGGATTCAGAGCGCTAGAGTCCAGAGTGCTAACCATTACACCATAGAACTGTTCTGGCACCTGGTGGCAGGATGGGCTCTGCAAACAGAGACAGTGCAAATAGAGATAGCGGCAGATTATGTTTTACAGTCTAAATGTAAAATGCAACAGCCATAGAATAAAAAAATGGACAGAGAGGCAACTGCACACAAGATGCCAAGCACTAATGAGATTGCACCTGGGATGTGATGATACCTTTACCACAAGACAATACCACTGAATGATATAATTATTTGAGCCACAGGCACATACATTTAGGCCCACTCTCAGAGAAGATGTAGGCCCACTCTCAGAGAAGATTAGTACCAGCAGAGCTCTATCATACTATCCAGGTCTGTGCCCAAACAGTTTGAGCTTCTACTTCTAAAAATCCACCTTTCCAGAAATAAGTCTCTCACTGTTGCCGCTTGCTACAGACCCCCCTCAGCCCCCAGCTGTGCCCTGGACACCATATGTGAATTGATTGCCCCCCATTTATCCTCTGAGTTTGTACTGCTTGGTGACCTAAATTGGGATATGCTTAATACCCCAGCCATCCTACAATCCAAGCTAGATGCCCTCAACCTCACGCAAATTATCAACGAACCTACCAGGTACAACCCTAAATCCTTAAACATGGGTACCCTCATAGATATCATCCTGACTAACATACCCTCTAAATACACCTCAGCTGTCTTCAACCAGGATCTCAGCGATCACTGCCTTATTGCCTGCGTCCGTAACGGGTCCGCGGTCAAACGACCACCCCTCATCACTGTCAAACGCTCCCTAAAACACTTTAGCGAGGAGGCCTTCCTAATTGACCTGGCCCAGGTATCCTGGATGGATATAGATCTCATTCCGTCAGTAGAGGATGCCTGGTTGTTCCTTAAAAGTAATTTCCTCTCAATCTTAAATAAACATGCCCCATTCAAAAAATACAGAACTAAGAACCGATATAGCCCCTGGTTCTCCTCAGACTTGACTGCCCTTGACCAGCACAAAAACATCCTGTGGCGTACAGCATTAGCATCAAATAGCCCCCGCGATATGCAACTTTTCAGGGAAGTTAGGAACCAATATACACAAGCAGTCAGGAAAGCAAAGGCTAACTTTTTCAAACAGAAATTTGCATCCTGTAGCACTAACTCCAAAAAGTTTTGGGACACTGTAAAGTCCATGGAGAATAAGAGCACTTCCTCCCAGCTGCCCACTGCACTGAGGCTAGGAAACACTATCACCACCGATAAATCTACAATAATCGAGAATTTCAACAAGCATTTTGCTACAGCTGGCCATGCTTTCCATCTGGCTACCACTAACCCGGCCACCAACTCTGCACCCTCTGCTGCAACTTGCCCATGCCCCCCCCCCCGCTTCTCCTTCACACAAATTCAGACAGCTGATGTTTTGAAAGCGCTGCAAAATCTGGACCCCTACAAATCAGCTGGGCTAGACAATCTGGACCCTTTCTTTCTAAAACTAGCCGCCGAAATTGTCGCAACCCCTATTACTAGTCTGTTCAACCTCTCTTTCATAACGTCTGAGATCCCCAGAGATTGGAAAGCTGCCGCGGTCATCCCCCTCTTCAAAGGGGGTGACACTCTAGATCCAAACTGCTACAGACCTATATCCATCCTGCCCTGCCTTTCGAAAGTATTCGAAAGCCAAGTTAACAAACAGATCATCGACCATTTCGAATACCACCGTACCTTCTCCGCTATGCAATCCGGTTTCCGAGCTGGTCACGGGTGCACTTCAGCCACGCTCAAGGTCCTAAACGATATTATAACCACGATTGATAATAGACAGTACTGTGCAGCCGTCTTCATCGACCTGGCCAAGGCTTTCGACTCTGTCAACCACTGCATTCTTATTGGCAGACTAAATAGCCTTGGTTTCTCAAATGACTGCCTCGCCTGGTTCACCAACTACTTCTCAGATAGAGTTCAGTGTGTCAAATCGTTGGGCCTGTTGTCTGGACCTATGGCAGTCTCTATGGGGGTGCCACAGGGTTCAATTCTTGGGCCGACACTTTTCTCCGTGTATATCAATGATGTCGCTCTTGCTGCTGGTGACTCTCAGATCCACCTCTACGCAGACGACACCATTTTGTATACATCTGGCCCTTCATTGGACACTGTGTTAACAAACCTCCAAACGAGCTTCAATGCCATACAACAATCCTTCAGTAGCCTTCAACTGCTCTTAAACACTAGTAAAACTAAATGCATGCTTTTCAATCGAACGCTGCTAGCACCCGCCCACCCGACTAGAATCACCACTCTCGACGGGTCTGACCTAGAGTATGTGGACAACTACAAATATCTAGGTGTCTGGTTAGACTGTAAACTCAACTTCCAGACTCACATAAAGAATCTCCAATCCAAAGTTAAATCTAGAATCGGCTTCCTATTTCGCAACAAAGCCTCCTTCACTCATGCTGCCAAACATGCCCTCGTAAAACTGACTATCCTACCGATCCTTGACTTCGGCGATGTCATTTACAAAATAGCCTCCAACACTCTACTCAGCAAATTGGATGTAGTCTATCACAGTGCCATCCGTTTTGTCTCCAAAGCCCCATACACTACCCACCACTGTGACCTGTACGCTCTTGTTGGCTGGTCCTCACTACATGTTCGTCATCAAACCCACTGGCTCCAGGCCATCTATAAATCACTGCTAGGCAAATCCCCGCCTTATCTTAGCTCATTGGTCACCATAGCAGCACCCACCCGTAGTCTGCGCTCCAGCAGGTATATCTCACTGGTCATTCCCAAAGCCAACACCTCCTTTGGCCGCCATTCCTTCCAGTTCTCTGCTGCCAATGACTGGAACGAATTGCAAAAATCTCTGAAGCTGGAGACTCTTATCTCCCTCAATAACTTTAAGCATCAGTTGTCAGAGCACCTTACCGATCACTGCACCTGTACACAGCCCATCTGAAATTTAGCCCACCCAACTACCTCATCCCTATATTGTTATTTATTTTGCTCTTTTGCACCCCAGTATCTCTATTTGCACATCATCTCTTGCACATCTAGCATTCCAGTGTTAATACTATTGTAATTATTCTGCACTATAGCCTATTTATTGCCTTACCTCCATAACTTGCTACATTTGCACACACTGTATATATATTTTCTGTTGTATTTCTGACTTTATGTTTTTTTTACCCCATATGTAACTCTGTGTTGTTTTTATTGCACTACTTTGCTTTATCTTGGCCAGGTCGCAGTTGTAAATGAGAACCTGTTCTCAACTGGCTTACCTGGTTAAATAAAGGTGAAATAAAATAAAAAAATAAAAATGTATTGCATGGAGCCACATTGCATAAAATACTTTGATGGCATACTTACCCAGAATTTTTATGTAGAGGATCAGATAAAGCATGCAATGGATCAGTCCTTACACACCTCTGTCAGGAACATGAAAATCAAACAAAACTGTTAGACACTGATTTAGTGTTGGAGGAGACAAAACTGTTAGACACTGATTTAGTGTTGGAGGAGATTTCATGAGCAAGAAGGCCAATGTGCATTGATTTACATGCATCTAAGGGTTATGTAACAGCTGAAAATGCAGCAACCTTATGTTACATATATTCAGCCTTGTTCTTCATTTGCACAAAGGATATACATGAATTATATACGAAACATAACATTGTATGTGTAATAGAAAAGTTGATCGAACTTGAGCAGAAAAATCTAATAGCATCACGTGACACTTGGTGGAAATATATGGTACTGCAAATAGGGCTTCGGGTCTCTTGCACCCCGGCTCTTCCGAAACCTTGACTTCATAAGATTCTAAAATAGACTGAAAATCAATCAGAAAATGAACTTGCAGACTAAAAAAACACAGTTCTTCATGCTCAAATTACATTCAGTGAGGTGAGATGAAATAGCACTTGTCAGTTTGGTGCATATAGAGTTCTGTCCAAGCAGTAGACTTACAGCCATTTGCATCACTGATTTCCTACTTTTTATTACAGTGTCTTCTTGTTTTTTTGGGATGCTGGTACCTTAGGGTTCTTCAGAGGCTTGGCTTTGGGCTTGGTTGGCATGGGTTTAGCCTTTCCTGGCTTGGCTTTTGTTTTGGTCAGCTTCAGGAGAGTGGGTTTGGGTTTGATTGATTTTGGGTCCTTGGGTCCTTTGAGGGTCTTGCCAGGAGAGGCACTCTCCCCTGGACAGCTCTTAAAGACATGAACATCCCTCACACTTTGGCCCCGGAATTCAGGAGGGTGACCACAGGTGGATTTCACCTTCAGACTCACATTCTCCATCCACTTGAGCAGAGAGAGGGGATGCAAAGTAGTTAGAGCCTGAGGGTTAGCAGATTTAAATCACGTGTATTTGTGTGTACCTCTCCCTGACCCAGTCTGTATTACCTACATGTTTCAAGCAGACAACCATAGTCGCTATGCCCAAGAACGCCAAGGTAACCTGTCTAAATTACTATCGCCCGTAGCACTCTTGCTTTGAAAGGCTGGTCATGGCTCACATCAACACCATCATCCCAGACACCCTGGACCAACTCTAATTTGCATACCGCCCCAACAGATCCATGGATGACGCAATCTCTATTGCACTCCACACTGCCCTCTCCCACCTGGACAAGAGGAACACCTATGTGAGAATGCTGTTGATCGACTACAGCTCAGCGTTCTCCCACACCATCATTAAGTTTGCTGACGACATGACAGTGGTTGGCCTGATCAGCGACGACGATGAGACAGCCTATAAGGAGGAGGTCAGAGACCTGGCAGTGTGGTGCCAGGACAACAACCTCTCCCTCAATGTTACAGCTAGCTCGCGAGCTAGCAAGTTATGCTAACTAATCCCGCGAAGACTGTACCCAAAAACGTATTAAGCCTATGGTAATACAGTGAGGGAAAAAAGTATTTGATCCCCTGCTGATTTTGTACGTTTGCCCACTGACAAAGAAATGATCAGTCTATAATTTTAATGGTAGGTTTATTTGAACGGTGAGAGACCGTTCACCCCCCCCCCCCTTGTTTATTATCTATGCATAGTCACTTTACCTCTACCTACATGTACATATTACCTCAATTACTTCGATTAACCTGTGCCGGTAACCCCCTGTATATAGCCTCATTACTGTTATTTTATTGTTGCTCTTTAATTATTTGTTATTTTTCTATTTTCTTTCTTTATTTTTTACTTCAGTTTATTTTAGTAAATACTTTCTTAACACTTATTTGTCTTAAAACTGCATTGTTGGTTAAGGGCTTGTAAGTAAGCATTTCACTGTAATGTATTCGGCGCATGTGACAAATACAATTTGATTTGTTACTTTTACTCATTATTGTTATTCGTTAGTCACTGTGTATTTTTTCTTCGTGTCACTATTTCCATTTTTTTATTTTAATTGTATTATCTTTATCTTAACTCTGCATTGTTGGAAAAGGACCTGTAAGTAAGCATTTCACTGTTAGTCTACACCTGTTGTTTATTTAATTTACATGCATGCATGTGCATGACTCCCTTGCACAGCAGCATCCACAAACTGGTCATTCACAAAGCAGTGGACTACTGACTTGCGGAGCGGCAGCAGGGGGCAGTCACATAGCAGGGGGTTGTGGGCCAGATTGATGACCTCCAGCCCAGTGAGAGGGCTCAGGTCAGGCAGCTCCTCCAGCTGGTTCCCCCCCAGAGACAGAGTGGTCAGCCCAGAGCCCAGCCCCGCCAGGGAGTCTCTGGACATCTATGGAGGGAATAGAAGCAACCATTCTTCATAGAAATGAATGGTCAATTTTTCATTGATAACTTGAAATGGTATTGACCCCAATTCTGCAGATAATTTATCAACGCAAACCTGGCAAAATACATCTCTTTATCTCTCCTACCTTCTCCAGACCCATGTCATCCGTATACAGCTGCTTCAGGCTCTTGGACACAGGAAGGAACGCCTTTGAAAAAGTAGGGGAGGTTAAAATATGGAAATGGTAAAAAAAAATGTGTGGGTAGATGAATAGCTAAATTACAGCACTTGGTTTAGACCATATCAAATAACTTGTAAAACATCCATCATTGATAATTTTGATTCATTGGCATCTCACCTCATCTATGGTGGGGGGAACCTGAATCAGATTCTTGCCGATACAGGCCATGGTGAGTTTGGAGATGTAGCAGATGCAGAACCTTGGGCACTTTCCCGCTTGAACTGGTAAATGTATGACCAAGAGCATCAAAACTGCAACTAGCCACTTAGAGAGGCAATCCGCAAAGGAACACATCTGTGGGGGTTTTGGGAAAAAGACATCAAACACAAACGGGATTTGACTGTAGGCCTAATGTAATGACAGTTATGCGTATTATGCACAAACGCCTCTCAAAAGACTAATTCTCTCCCAATTTGTTACAGTCTCAAAACTTTGAATAAATACTGTAAATACAGTGAAAATAGTACAATAGACTACTTCGTATAGCAACAATGGAACAAACATATTCAAAGATATGGAGAATCCCGTCTCCAACTTGGAAAACTTGACGTACCGATAGGCTTTCCCTCTGGACTCATAAAATCATTTTTCCAATGCCAGGAGGATTGTATGTATTTATTTTAAGCATATTTAAAGACTTAAAAGTTAAGTATCTGGTTGTTATTCAGCAGCAATCCATAACATTTGCTATTTGATAAATATTGTAACTTTTAAGAATGTTCGTATTGTACATTTAAGATTGTAAACGTACCTTTATGGTTGAATTTTAGTATGTAGCCTTCCCAAATAGCTTTATAAAGTTTTCAACTCAAGGAAAAGTGTAGGTCTGTATATAATTTTTCCACTGTGGAGGAGCTGCGCGCAACGGAGAACATGAGTGCCAAGGGTCTTCACGTACATACTAGACTTCTACATTGCTAGAATGACTGACCACTTGCAACATTGAGGGGTCTCACAAACACTGCTTTGATAAATTCTTTAGTCGTGACTCCCGGTCCCTGTGAAACCTAACCTCAAATGAACACCTTGGCAATACATTTTCTGACAGATTAGAGGTCGAAGGTAGCCAACAGTCCCACTGGGCATAGACGTCAATTCAATGTATATTCCACGTTGGTTAAACAACGTTGATTCAACCAGTGTGTGCCCTAGGTAAAATGAAATTAGAAAATGAATTTAACACCAAACCTGCCTGAGTTATTCATAATTATAGTAGTTACTCTATAAATTGACATTGACAGGTATAAAAAGGACAACTTTTTTGTGTGTAGCTTTTAAAACCAGAGTTCAATTAACAGTAGTCTGCTACCACAACCTAGTCTCTGAGCATTTCTTATTATTCTGTATGTAAATCCAAGACACTCCATTTAGTATGATATGTTACATTTTGTGTGGTATGTATTCATTTGTGGATGTCATCACCAATTTCGTATGATATGTTACGAATTACAATTTGTATTATATGTTATGAATTTGCAAAACGTACAAGATGTTACGAATTTGGCAAACGTATGATATGTTACGAATTCTAGCTAGGTGCCTAACATTAGCTAGCTTGCTAACAATAGCTAGGCTAGGGTTTAGGGGAAAGGTTAGCTAAAGGGGTTAAGGATAGGGGAAGGGTTAGCTAACATGCTAAATAGTTACAAAGTAGCTAAAGAGTAGTAAGTAGTTGAAAAGTTGCTAATTAGCTAAAATGCTAAAGCTGTCCGTGATGAGATTCAAAACCTTTGGGTTGCTAGACGTTCGCGATATATGCCCACCCATCCACACACACCCAGACCAACCACCCTACTTTCGTTTTTGCCTTAAGTAACCATCTGTCTTATGTACCCATACCAAACGTTAATATATATTACAATTTTTTGTTTCCTGGATTTACATTTACTATGTTACGTCTAGTCTATGAGACCAGGCTGGCTACCAATCTCACTTCCAGTAAACTACCCACTACCCTAAAGTCACTGGATTGCAAACTCTCCGAATAAAATGATTTTTAAGCACAGCAAACTAATGGAAAAATGAATCAATAAAATGTAAGTGAATGTGTATTTCCCTGTGGTTCAACTATAAAAGTGGCTGTATCCCACAGCACCTAAAAAGCCACACAAAAAAAAGTTCTGACAGGCGCTCACAAAGAAGGGCTATTTTTCTAAGCTCGAGAAGAGGTAGCCCACTGTCCCCAAGAATGGTTCTGGTGAAAGCATTGCTCTAACGGTCACAAGCTTAAAAAGTGTAGAGCAGCTTGCCATTGAATTGGTTAATGCAATTAACAATGATCAAAGTCTGATGTAATGTACTAATTTCATAATATTAGAAATACTGTATGAATTGGATATATAGTATATCTATGACCTTTCGTCACGCCCTGACATAGAGTTGGCTAGTTGGTGAGTCAGGGTGTGAATATTATGTGTGGGAATTTCTATGTGGACATTATAGTATTTGCATTTCTATGTTTGCCGGGTGTGATTCCCAATCAGAGGCTGCTGTCGCTCGTTGTCTCTGATTGGGGATCATACTTTAGTAGCCTGGTTGCCTATCTTAGTTGTGGGATCTTGTGTTTAGCCTTCCGACGTCACGTTTCGTTGCCTTTTGTCAGTGTTTATTGTTTTAATAAACATGTATGCATTCCACGCTGCGCCTTGGTGTAATCCGTCTCTTAACGATCGTGACACCTTTTCAGCGCATACAACTGAGTTCATGTCCAACAAACAGTGTATTCATTCAAAAGCACATCCCAGGCCTAATCGCTTTCTCAGATGAAGTGGCAGGTCCCCATACAAGTGGATCAAGTACAACGGTCTGTTGCTTCCTTGAATAGTCCCCTTTATGTACTGCAAAAACTTGGAATATTGTCAATTGGCTTGCTCTGTGCATTTTAACCCCAACACATTCTCCATTATCTGAGAGTATTTCCAGTAAAAATGTAGGTCAAACAGTAGGCGTCGTGTGCGCCTTTCTCAGTATTAGCCACAGGAGCATTATAAACTGAACAAAATGATAAACAACATATAAAGTCCCATGTTCATTGAGCTGAAATAAAAGATCCCAGAAATTTTCCATACGCACAAAAAGCTTATTTCTCTCAAATTTTGGGCACACATTTGTTTACATCCCTGTAAGTGAGCATTTCTCCTTTGCCAAAATAATCCATCCACCTGACAGGAGTGGCATATCAAGAAGCTGATTAAACGGCATCATCATTACACAGGTGCACCTTGTGCTGGGGACAATAAAAAGGCTCTAAAATTAGCCGTTTTGTCACACACATCCGGCTTCTTCACCTGCGTGCCTGTCTGAGACCAGCCACCAGGACAGCTGATTAAACTGTGGGTTTGCACAACTGAAGGATTTCTGCACAAACTGTCAGAAACAGTCTCAGGGAAGCTCATCTGTGTGCCTATCATCCTCACCAGGGTCTTGACCTGACTGCAGTTCTGCATCATAACCGACTTCAGTAGGTAAATGCCACCTTCGATGGCCACTGGCATGTGTGCTCTTCATGGGTGAATCCTGGTTTCAACTGTACCGGGCAGATGGCAGACAGCATGTATGGCGTGGTGTGGGAGAAAGGTTTGCTAATGTCAACATTCTGAACAGAGTGCCCGTGGTGGGGTTATGGTATGGGCAGGCATAAGTTACGAACAAACACAATAGCATTTTATCAATGGCAATTTGAATGCACAGAGATACCGTGACGAGATCCTGAGGCCCATTGTCGTGCCATTCATCTGCCGCCATCACCTCATGTTTCAGCATGATAATGCACGGCCCCATGTCACAAGGATCTATACACAATTCCTGGAAGATGAAAATGTCCCAGTTCTTCCATACTCACTAGACATATCACCCATTGAGCATGTTTGGGATGCTCTGGATTGACTTGTACAACAGTGTGTTCCAGTTCCCGCCAATATCCAGCAACTTCGTACAGCCATTGAAGAGGAGTGGGACAACATTCCACAGGCCACAATGAACAGCCTGATCAACTATGTGAAGGATAGGTCGTGCTGCATGGGGCAAATGGTGGTTACACTAGATACTGACTGGTTTTCTGATCCACGCCCCTACTTCTTTTTGAAGGTATCTGTGACCAACAGATGCATATTTGTATTCCCAGTCATGTGAAATCCATTGATTAGGGCCTAATCTATGTATTTAAATTGAACTGTAACTCAGTAAAATCTTTCAAATTGTTGTATGAGGCCTCCCGAGTGGCGCAATGGTCTAAGGCACTGCATCGCAGTGCTAGCTGTGCCACTAGAGATCCTGGTTCGAGTCCAGGCTCTGTCGCAGCCGGCCGCGACCGGGAGACCGATCAGGTGGCGCACAATTTAGGGGAGGGTTTGGCCGGCAGGGGTATTCTAGAAATATTGCGCACTAGTGACTCATGTGGCGGGCCGGGCGCAGTGCACGCTGACACGGTCGCCAGGTGTACGGTGTTTCCTCCGACCCATTGGTGCGGCTGGCTTCCAGGTTAAGCGGGTTTTGTGTCAAGAAGCAGTGCGGCTCGGCTGGGTTGTGTTTCGGAGGACGCACAGCTCTCGACCTTCGCCTCTCCTGAGTCCGTACGGGAGTTGCAGCGATGGGACAAGACTGTAACTACCAATTGGATACCACGAAAATTAAAATTAAAAAACATCTTTATACAGTCGTGGTCAAAAGTTTTGAGAATGACACAAGTATTGGTCTTCACAAAGTTCGCTGCTTCAGTGTTATGAGATATTTTTGTCAGATGTTACTATGGTATACTGAAGTATAATTACAAGCATTCCATAAGTGTCAAAGGCTTTTACTGACAATTACATTACGTTTATGCAAAGAGTCAATATTTGCAGTGTTGACCCTTCTTTTTCAAGACTTTTGCAATCCGCCCTGGCATGCTGTCAATTAACTTCTGGGCCACATCCTGACTGATGGCAGCCCATTCTTGCATAATCAATGCTTCAAGTTCTCAATGGGATTAAGGTCTAGGGAGTTTCCTGGCCATGGACCCAAAATGTCGATATTTTGTTCCCCGAGCCAGTTAGTTATCACTTTTGCCTTATGGCAAGGTGCTCCATCATGCTGGAAAAGGCATTGGTCGTCACCAAACTGTTCTTGGATGGTTGGGAGAAGTTGCTGTCGGAGGATGTGTTGGTACCATTCTTTATTCATGGCTGTGTTCTTAGGCAAAATTGTGAGTGAGCCCACTCCCATGGCTGAGATGCAACCCCACACATGAATGGTCTCAGAATGCTTTACTGTTGGCATGACACAGGACTGATGGTAGCGCTCACCTTGTCTTCTCCGGACAAGGTGTTTTCCGGATGCCCCAAACAATCGGAAAGGGGATTCATCAGAGAAAATGACTTTACCCCAGTCCTCAGCAGTCCAATCCCTGTACCTTTAGCAGAATATCAGTCTGTCCCTGATGTTTTTCCTGGAGAGAAGTGGCTTCTTTGCTGCCCTTCTCGACACCAGGCCATCCTCCAAAAGTCCTCGCCTCACTGTGCGTGCAGATGCACTCGCACCTGCCTGCTGCCATTCCTAAGCAAGCTCTGCACTGGTGGTGCCCCGATCCCGCAGCTGAATCAACTTTAGGAGACGGTCCTGGCGCTTGCTAGACTTTCTTGGGCGCCCTGAAGCCTTCTTCACAACAATTGAACCTCTCTCCTTGAAGTTCTTGATGATCCGATAAATGGTTGATTTAGGTGCAATCTTACTAGCAGCAATATCCTTGCCTGTGAAGCCCTTTTTGTGCAAAGCAATGATGACGGCATGTGTTTCCTTGCAGGTAACCATGGTTAACAGAGGAAGAACAATGATTTCAAGCACCACCCTCCTTTTAAAGCTTCCAGTCTGTTATTGTAACTCAATCAGCATGATAGAGTGATCTCCAGCCTTGTCCTCGTCAACACTCTCACCTGTGTTAACGAGAGAATCAGTGACATGATGGCAGCTGGTCCTTTTGTGGCAGGGCTGAAATGTAGTGGAAATGTTTTTTGGGGGATTAAGTTGATTTTCATGGCAAAGAGGGACTTTGCAATTCATCTGATCACTCTTCATGACATTCTGGAGTACATGCAAATTGCCATCATCAAAACGGAGTATTTATGTGTAATAGTATAATTAGTATTTGTGTCATTCTCAAAACTTTGACCACGACTGTACACGGAACAAAAATATAAACATGTGAAGTGCTGGTTTCATGAGCTGAAATAAAAGATCCCAGAAATGTTCCATACTCACAAAAAGCTTATTTAAAAAAAAATGTTGTGCACAAATTTGTTTACATCACTGTTAGTGAGCATTTTATCCTTTGGTCAAGATAATCCCATCCACCCAACAGGTGTGGCATATCAAGAAGCTGATTAAACAGCATAATTACACATGTGCACCTTGTGCTGGGGGGGGGGGGGGTGCTGAGGAGTATTTCTGTCAGTAATAAAGCCCTATTGTGGGGAAAACACATTCTGATTGGCTGGGCTTGGCTTCCCAGTCATGTGAAATCCATAGATTAAGGCCTAATGAATGTATTGCACGTGACTGATTTCCTTATGCATTTATATTTTTGTTCAGTGTAGGTTTCAAAATTTGGGAGGAGAAAGAACCTGCACCCAGATGAATAGTTTCTTTCCTCTGTAAAAAGTGGTAAATATGGTTGAAGGACTAGATCCTTATTCAAGGTAGTGCTTACTAAACTTCCAGTCCACTCAATAACGGAGACACCCAAATAGTGTCTGTTTAATAGCTGCAACAATAAAGAAATCTACATATTTATTCGGTTCTTCCCTTTTGATTGTTATTGTATAATCACATTTCCACAGCAGCCCATATCACACATTTTATATTTGTATTTTTATATCCATTTTACCTCCCTTTTCTTTTTCTTTTTACATAAAACATTACTTATTGAGGGTAAATATGGAGAGAACCTGTGTTGAAGATTGTAATTCAGTCCTTTCACTGTGGGTGAGGCAGGATGCGCCATTCACACTTAATCGCCCAAGTGTTTGTGTATGTAATATTCAGTCCGTCCATCCACAGTGTAATCCTATTCCACTTAAAATAATACACATCCATGAGGTGATGTGCAAGGCTCCAGCTGTGAATCTTCTGAGTTGGTGAAATAGAGTGCAGTGCAACAGTTTAGTCCTTGTTGTGCTAAGGGCCCCCTTTATGTCTGGGGGTGGGAATTGTTCTGTTCTTAAGTCAGTGAGAGTGTCTGTGGGGTCCGGTGTGACTCAGCTCTCAGGCCTGACCTGCTCCAGCGTGGACTTGAGGATGTTCCTGGCGCTGCTGCACAACTCCAGGGCCTGGATGTGTCTGAGGGTCACAAACATACAGTCACACACCTGCAAGGCGAGGTCAGTCCAGATGCATCAAAGCTGTGACCAAGAGACTGAAAAACAGCTTCTATCTCAAGGCCATCAGACTGTTAAACAGCCATCACTAGCACATTAGAGGCTGCTGCCTAGACATAGACTTGAAATCACTGGCCACTTTAAGAAATGGAAGACTAGACACTTTAATAATGTTTACGTCTTGCATTACTCATCTCATATGTATATACTGTATTCTATACTATTCTACAGTATCTTAGTCCATGCCGCTCTGACGTCGCTCATCCATATGTATATATTCTTAATTCATTCCTTACTTAGATTTGTGTGTATTGGGTATATGTTGTGAAATTGTTAGATATTACTGCACTGTCGGAGCTAGAAGCACAAGCATTTCGCTACACCCGCAATAACATCTGCTAAACACGTATGTGCCCAATAACATTTGATTTGAATGATGGACAGTTTCACCTTTCATCTTTACTGTTTTTTTTAAAACGCAGCAGCCTGACAACATAGGAAACTGGGTACATTGTGCAATTTGGAGCATGTTGGCAATATCCTTTGGGAACTTTGTGCCAATGTGGTGTGTTAATCTGCAGTCGGAGAGGGTACCTGAGAGCTACGCTGCCGCCCATCACTCACGCCCTTACCGGGACATGAAGGCCTCCAGCACAGCGATGTGCTCCTGGGGGAAGTAGTCCTGACGTACGGCGTACTCCAGCGCCTGCAAATGACCAGGCACCACACGCACCGGCCTCACCTTGTCCTCACTCTGAATGAGACAGAGAGAGGGGGAGACACAAGGGCTACAATAATACAAGGCGGAAGAAAACCAGGAGTTACTCTACGAATGTGTGTGCATACCTTGAGGAGTCCCAGCATTACTAACAGCGATGATACAAAGTTGTAACCTTGGAAGGAGGGGCTGGCGAAGGCTTTCCTGAGAATTGCGTCTGTAGAACAAAGAGGATATACACTTAACATGCAGTCATACAGATGAGCAACAAAAACAGTCTCATATCCATGGACTCAGTCATCTGGCCCCATGTTTTCACCAAGTACTCACAAATGAGATAAGTGGCACTCACCAATACTGTCCAGGACAGCACTCTTAACCTCTTCATCTTCCTCCTTGTACACAGAGGAGATCTTCAGGAAAGCCTCCGCTGTCTTACCAGCATCAGCCACATCTACCTGGAAGAGAAGAGCGAGGACAACAGGTTCAACATCACCAGCAACCTGTTTCAGCCTACTGCCAAGTTTGCTGTGTAAGCTATTCATGACAGGGTGTGTTTACCTGCTGTTCGAAGAGCAGGGCCCTCTTGGTGCCCAGTTTGAGCAGCTTGTCTGGGGAGGGGAAGCAGAGGAAGGAGGCGGCATCTGGGGGTTGGGGCACTGACGGAGGGGAGGACACCTGATTCACACTGCTGTCCTCCTCCTCCTCATCTTCATCATCATCCTCCTCATAGTCATCCTCTTCCTCCTCCTCATCCTCAGGCTCCCCTTCATCATCGCTGCAGGTAGAGACAAAGATTACACAAAGAGATTTTCTCATGGCGGCTTGTGATAAAAGACAGGATGGCTGAGGTCGAGTGTGGGTAAGTCTATAAGTATAAACTAATTTCCTATTTCAATCCAGTACCTGAGTGATCCCAGCAGGTCTCCCATGTTCAGGCCATCCATTACCGCTCTGAGGGCATCACAGCACTCCTCCCCCAGGCAGTTACCTGACAGTACCAACACACAAAGTCACACATGACAGCACAAAGTCACACATGAAATCTACAGATCCTAAGAAAACATTAACAGCTGATGCAACATTTTCAATCCAGTTTTCATGTGTTGTAAGTCAAGTGTGTATCCATCATATACCATTTAGGTCCAGTTTCTCCAGTGTGGCTTTGCCCTCGACTGATTGTGCCACCAGCAGTGCAGCTTCTCCTGTAATCTCCCCGAATGACAGATTCAGCTCCTGACAGAGGTAAAAAAATAATAATAATATGGGTGTGTATGAGTCAGGTGCTTCCACAGCAGAGGGAAATGTATGAACACCCATGAAGTAACAATCAAGTACAGCAGATGTTCCTGCAGCCGAGGGTGGGACCAGTGCTACCCTGTACCTTGAGGATGGGAAGCCCCTCAGTGACTGCCTCTGCGATGGCTATAGCCCCCTCGGAACGCACCAGACAGTCTCCAAAGTTTATCACCTGGACACTACGCAAATGTTTCAGAGCCTGAAGGGGGCACAAAACACGCAGTGTCAGTCATTGTATGAAAATGCATTTGAGCAGTCATCAACTTCATGAGGGTTTCATTGTCATACGGCCTTTGTACACAAGGCAAACCACTACTGTACCTGTGCCATGGCGATAGCTCCTTTCTTGGTGAAGGTGTTGTCGTTGAGGTTGAGGACCCGGAGCTGGGGGTTGTGTTGCATGGCAGTGGCCAGAGCAGTCACCCCATGGTGATTGATCCCATTCTGGGGCACGTGCACCTCCTCCAGACTACCCATCAGCTGAGGGCACACAGGAGGTCATACAGTAGCATCAGACATAGATAGCTATATAGACAGTATATGGCTTGTCACTGTCAGTACAGTTTAATCATAGACTCAGTGGCATTACGTTGGTGTGTTCGAGGAGCTTTTATCTATGCAGCTGCCAGTACTAATGCTAAAGAGCTCCTTGTGAACCACTGTGGTGACTAACTGCATATACTCTAGTCCAGATGGTCAGAAATTCTGATATGTTCAGCTCAGGAGCCAGTGTCTGTACCTGGAAGGCCTGGGCGAGGGCAGTGGCCCCATCGTTCTCCAGACGGTTCCTGCCTGCGATGAACACCTTCAGCCCAAGGGGGGTGCCCTGTGCACTGGACTGCTTATAGCACTCCGTCAACGCTGCAGCTAAGATCTGAGGAGACCACACATACAGAGCACAGTGAAAAACTACTTTGGAAAAAGTTGTGTTTGTCAGGATAGATATTAAATAATTTCATAATATTATTATGATATCACTTCTCAAATGATATCAGTATTCAACCTTAACACAAGCTATATTTCATATGAGAAGTGAAATTAGCTTTAGATCTTCTCTTAAATTATTTTACTGACTATATTACAACTAGCAGGGGGCAACTTTATGTTGTTGAGTCTACTCAATAACACAATATAGCTCCTATCAAACTAGAGACATTCTACCCACCTTGCCTCCACCAATGCCCATGCCGCAGTTGTTGAGCCGCAGTTCCTGCAGCGTGTGACAGGCAGTGCTCTTGAGCAACTTCTCGATGCCCTTCACCCCGTCTGGTCCAAAGGCGTTGTCACTGAGGTCCAGCAAGGTCAGTCTGGCGCCTGCTGTCATCAGGGCCGCACCCAGGGAGTTCTGAATAGGGGAGATGAAGGATGAGTTTACAATCCCATACCATCTTTCATCTATCAAAGGGAGCAGGTGTTTGTTTTTTTTTGTCTCACCAGGGCTGGAGGGATCTCAGAACGCAGTCGCCCAGTAAACATGTCACTCCAGTAACAGTACTGAGGGAGAGAGATGGTGATAAAGGGTTAGCTATAGTATTGTCTAGCTAGCCCTATATATATCACAGACACATTGCTCTCACCAATAGAGGTAAAATAAGCAAGATTGAGTGATTGACAGCAGAATACATGACAGATATGAAAGCAAGACAGAACAGAGCCAACAACAGGTATCAACATATGAGATCATCAATCCTTCTCCGTGTGGCAGTCAGTGGAATACCTGTCCTCTGTACCACAAACAATGCAATCAAAACACACCTCATCTCATAACCACTCTGTGACTGGTACCTTAAATTCACTCTTTGTCTCCAGGGCTTTAGCGATGGCCTGTGCTGCCTCCACCCCATAAGTGTTCCCCTCCAGCCTGAGCGCTTGCAACCCCTTGAACTCCTGGATCTCTTTCACCATCTCTTCCACTGGAAAGAAGGAGACAGGGGGAGAGATTGAAGACAAAGACCATGATTGTGTGATGAACAATACATTTAACATTGGACACCACCTTGTCCTTGAACAACCTATTGTATGACAACTGGAGGAGCATAAGCATAATGAGTCAATGGTCAGTGGTTGAAATTCTTACCAGATTGTGCATTGTCGAATTTGCGTCCTTGGCCCTTATAGCTCAACTCTCCCTCAGTCACCTGAGTTTTGGCCAGAGAATCGGCCAACTGTGCAACAACATCAGTCGCCATCAGGACACCTGAGGAACATACACACTTATGAACAAGAATATGCACTACTTACTTAGGCAGGTACTCTACTAGGTGGTAATTGATAATATATTATGTTTTGCTTAAGACCTAGCGTTACCAAAGACACACATGAAGTTTGAAGTGATGTTATAAACATTATTCATAGTTAGCTAGCTAGTTAACTTTAGCTAATATATACACAGATGGGAAGTTGCTCTATCTGTAAACGTTGCTAGCTTGCTATCGTTGTGCTACTCTCTGGAAGAAGTGGAAACCCTTGCTAACTAATGATAACCAACTAGCATGATAGTTACGACATTATAAACATATTTGGTAACGAGTTATAACCATTTGGCACACCATCTCATGCCAGGATAGTTGAGGCTAACTAGCTGGATAACTAGCTAGGTAATGAACTGTTGGAAAAAGCTGAATATGGTCGATCATTTCCAATGTGGTGTGTCAAAGTTGTGACATGTTCCCCAATAATACAGCCAACAAAACAAGTTACTTAACGTTGTTCTGACTTGGCAAAGTCATAACATAACTCTAGTTAGCTTAGCAAGCTAAAGTTGGGCATGCGGTGGTACGGCCTTCAACCAACTTGATCTGATAAATATGGCAACTCTCCTTACGTGTGGCTTTACTAACGTTTCCCTGAATACATTTGCAAGCGAAACTGTTTCAATGCTTACCAAATGCTAATTTCTGCGTAGAGGCCTGTAGCTAGTTGTTTCCAGAACAGTGCTATCTGTCCCACAAGCTGTCTCCCGCTCCGTTCTGACGTTGAAACACTTCGAATGACGCGAGACACACGGGACTTGTAGTTCCAAACAGTTTCGTTTGCTCATCTTCTTCTATGATATAATGGCGTTCCGCAAACAAACGTTTAAGTGCATGCTGCCACCTACTGTGTTGGAATATAATATGCCATTTAGCAGACGCTTTTATCCAAAGCGACGTACAGTCATGTGCGCATTCATTTTTACGTATGGGTGGTCCCGGGGGTCGAACCCACTACCCTGGCGTTACAAGCGCCATGTTCTACCAATTGAGCTACAGAGGACCACATAATGTACGATCAATCATGATCTGCCCAATTCTGCACAGCCCTTTTCATTATTTTGTATACAACACATTTTTATTATGTAATAATTAATTTTAACAACAAATTCCAAATGCAAGTTTCATAAGTACATTTTCAATTTGAAGCTATTCTGACATACCAAAATACCATTAGGCCTATGCTAGTAATTGTTGCCATATAACCTATTGCTGGTGAGCTTGCAAAGTAAACAGTTAATTTATTTATTTATTTAATTTTATTTAACCTTTATTTAACCAGGTAAGCCAGTTGAGAACAAGTTCTCATTTACAACTGCGACCTGGCCAAGATAAAGCAAAGCAGTGCGATAAAAACAACAACACAGAGTTACATATGGTCAAAAAAAGAAAAAGAAAAAAAAAAATATATATATACAGTGTGTGCAAATGTAGCAAGTTATGGAGGTAAGGCAATAAATAGGCTATAGTGCAAAATAATGACAATTAGTATTAACACTTTATATTTTCGACACTTTTCTCCGTGTATATCAATGATGTCGCTCTTGCTGCTGGTGACTCTCAGATCCACCTCTACGCAGACGACACCATTTTGTATACATCTGGCCCTTCATTGGACACTGTGTTAACAAACCTCCAAACGAGCTTCAATGCCATACAACAATCCTTCAGTAGCCTTCAACTGCTCTTAAACACTAGTAAAACTAAATGCATGCTTTTCAATCGAACGCTGCTAGCACCCGCCCACCCGACTAGAATCACCACTCTCGACGGGTCGGACCTAGAGTATGTGGACAACTACAAATATCTAGGTGTCTGGTTAGACTGTAAACTCAACTTCCAGACTCACATAAAGAATCTCCAATCCAAAGTTAAATCTAGAATCGGCTTCCTATTTCGCAACAAAGCCTCCTTCACTCATGCTGCCAAACATGCCCTCGTAAAACTGACTATCCTACCGATCCTTGACTTCGGCGATGTCATTTACAAAATAGCCTCCAACACTCTACTCAGCAAATTGGATGTAGTCTATCACAGTGCCATCTAGCATTCCAGTGTTAATACTATTGTAATTATTCTGCACTATAGCCTATTTATTGCCTTACCTCCATAACTTGCTACATTTGCACACACTGTATATATATTTTCTGTTGTATTTCTGACTTTATGTTTTTTTTACCCCATATGTAACTCTGTGTTGTTTTTATTGCACTACTTTGCTTTATCTTGGCCAGGTCGCAGTTGTAAATGAGAACCTGTTCTCAACTGGCTTACCTGGTTAAATAAAGGTGAAATAAAAAAAATAAAATCAATAAAAAACACTGGAATGCTAGATGTGCAAGAGATTATGTGCAAATAGAGATACTGGGGTGCAAAAGAGCAAAATAAATAACAATATAGGGATGAGGTAGTTGGGTGGGCTAATTTCAGATGGGCTGTGTACAGGTGCAGTGATCGGTAAGGTGCTCTGACAACTGATGCTTAAAGTTAGTGAGGGAGATAAGAGTCTCCAGCTTCAGAGATTTGTTCAATTCGTTCCAGTCATTGGCAGCAGAGAACTGGAAGGAATGGCGGCCAAAGGAGGTGTTGGCTTTGGGGATGACCAGTGAGATATACCTGCTGGAGCGCAGACTACGGGTGGGTGCTGCTATGGTGACCAATGAGCTAAGATAAGGCGGGGATTTGCCTAGCAGTGATTTATAGATGGCCTGGAGCCAGTGGCTTTGACGACGAACATGTAGTGAGGACCAGCCAACAAGAGCGTACAGGTCACAGTGGTGGGTAGTGTATGGGGCTTTGGAGACAAAACGGATGGCACTGTGATAGACTACATCCAATTTGCTGAGTAGAGTGTTGGAGGCTATTTTGTAAATGACACCGCCGAAGTCAAGGATCGGTAAGATAGTCAGTTTTACGAGGGCATGTTTGGCAGCATGAGTGAAGGAGGCTTTGTTGCGAAATAGGAAGCCGATTCTAGATTTAACTTTGGATTGGAGATTCTTAATGTGAGTCTGGAAGGAGAGTTTACAGTCTAACCAGACACCTAGGTATTTGGAGTTGTCCACATACTCTAGGTCAGACCCGTCGAGGGTAGTGATTCTAGTCGGGTGGGCGGGTGCCAGCAGCGTTCGATTAAAGAGCATGTATTTAGTTTTACTAGTGTTTAAGAGCAGTTGGAGGCTACTGAAGGAGTGTTGTTAATATTCTTGATCACCAAACAATTTTTGGAGCTGAATATTTATTTATGGCAATTCTCTCTCTCTACAATTTGACGTTTGCGCTGCACCCGATCCTATAGCTAGCTGTATAGCACATCAGTAATCTGTTCGCTAGTTCCGTGGTTCTCAAACTTTTTGACCCACGACCCCCAAAAAGGAGTGGTTCAAAGCTTGCATGCACGCAGGCACAGGGCGAATACGCATGCACAATCGCTGCGCAAATGTTGCCACTAGCCAGTCATTCCAGCCATAAACAGTGATACATTTTCAAAACGCTAGATACAGAAATAAACGGTGTTTTAAACTTGTATTTTGAGCTGAGTCATTCATGTAAGCAGTCAATATCAACTAGGGATATCATGTCACATTGTCACTTCTCTGGAATCCAGAGCAAGCAGGATCAGTGGCGATTTTAGCATGTAAATCTTGGTGGGGCAAAAAAAAAAAAAATGGGGATGCATGTGAGCAAAGCCACTACACAACACAACAATAAACCATACATTAATTGCGCTATAACGGTGACAGACGGTGCCCACAAACTGTTATGGCCTACATAAAGCTGTCCCAACAGCAGAGCTTTCTATTCAGCACCATGGAGTGAATCCTTACCACTGCTACACCTGGCTATCAGTGGAGCCTTGTCTGACAGCAAAACAGTTAATTCAGCCTCATTTACTGCCTTTAAAAAAACCCATAGCTGATATAGCTGACTTGCTTAAACAAATGTGGTTTCTACTGACAATTGAGATGTACAAACTATGGCATAAGGGGACAACGAGCGGATAAGAGACAATCCGTAATTTCGATGAAGACATTAATGAGCGAGCTAGGACGGACGTAGTCAATATAACTATTTGTTCAGCACTTTTGAAATGTATAGCGACAGAATTCAAGACATGGGCCGCTCTTACAGGATTTTCCCTGTACACCAAGTCAGAACCGTAGGATAAATAAAGGGGGCATACAGTGCATTTCCACATTTTGGTACGTTACAGCCTTATTCTAAAAATCATTCAATTGTTTTTTCCCCTCATCAATCTACACACAATACCCCATAATGACAAAGCAAAAACAGGTTTTTAGACATTTCTGCAAATGTATAATAATAAAAAAATTCATTTACATACATATTCAGACCCTTTACTCAGTACTTTGTTGAAGCACCTTTGGCAGCGATTACAGCCTCAAGTCTTCTTGGGTATGATGCTCTCAAGCTGGCACACCTGTATTTGGGGAGTTTCTCTCATTCTCCTCTGCAGATCCACTCAAGCTCTGTCAGGTTGGATGGAGAGAGTCACTGCACAGCTATTTTCAGGTCTCTCCAGAGATGTTAGATCGGGTTCAAGTCCGGGCTCTGGCTGGGCCACTCAAGGGCATTCAGAGACTTGTCCCTAACAGTGATGCCAACTTAGCAATTTTGTTGCTAGATTTAGCAACTTTTTTTTCAAACAGCACCTAGCAACAAATTTAGCTACTTTTGAAAAATTGATTTGGAACTTTTAGCAACTTTTGAAAAGTGTCTCAAACGCTAAAATGCACGCATTTTCCCTCTAAATGACACAAAAACGATTTTCTCTGTCACACACTCAGTCACAACACACGTGCCTGGCTGCAAAAGTGTATTGTGAGTGACGTCAGCAGCAGGTGCTCAGCTCGTGCACAGGCAGCAGCAGGCCAGCAGCAATTTCAGCAAATTGCAAATCATTGTTGGCTGACTGCAGCAGCAGTAGTATGTGTTCGACGAGACAAACCCAATGAATATAGTTGGTCAAGAATGTTTGATCTTGAACAGAACTTACAACATCAATCAACATGTCTCAATCAAAATTGTACAGCCAGAAGTACAGAAAAGAGTGGGAGTCTGTACCTGAATTTAAAGGGTGGCTGAAGCCAGTAATTGGGGATGATTGTCAGGCATACTGTGCATGCTGCAAATTAGATATGCTTGCAAAAATGTATGACATCAAAAAACATTGTGCTACAGCAAAGCATATAAATAAATCAAAACCGTACAACCCCGCAACGCAGTCTACATTACCACAGTTGGTTAAGAAAGTGGATAACTGCAAAAGCGCACAAGCTACTATGGCAATGGCCATTGCGGAGCATTGTTCGCTGCTAGCATGCAACCAAAAAATGGGGCAAAAATGTATTTAGTCAGCCACCAATTGTGCAAGTTCTCCCACTTAAAAAGATGTAATTTTCATCATAGGTACACGTCAACTATGACAATGGTGAGGGAGCTTGTTCCAATGGTGGAACAAGCTCCCTCACGACGCCAGGACAGCGGAGTCACTCACCACCTTCCGGAGACATTTGAAACCCCACCTCTTTAAGGAATACCATGGGATAGGATAAAGATAAAGTAAAATATATATAAAAATTTTTTTTAAAAAAGTGCTTATCCCACTGGCTATAAGGTCAATGCACCTATTTGTAAGTCGCTCTGGAAAAGAGCGTCTGCTAAATGATGTAAATGTAAATGACAGACAAAATGAGAAAAAAAATTCCAGAAAATCACATTGTAGGATTTATAATGAATTTATTTGCAAATTATGGTGGAAAATAAGTATTTGGTCAATAACAAAAGTTTCGCAATGCTTTGTTATATACCCTTTGTTGGCAATGACACAGGCCAAACGTTTTCTGTAAGTCTTCACAAGGTTTTCACACACTGTTGCTGGTATTTTGGCCCATTCCTCCATGCAGATCTCTTCTAGAGCAGTGATGTTTTGGGGCTGTCGCTGGGCAACACAGACTTTCAACTCCCTCCAAAGATTTTCTATGGGGTTGAGATCTGGAGACTGGCTAGGCCACTCCAGGACCTTGAAATGCTTCTTACGAAGCCACTCCTTCATTGCCCGGGCGGTGTGTTTGGGATCATTGTCATGCTGAAAGACCCAGCCACGTTTAATCTTCAATGCCCTTGCTGATGGAAGGAGGTTTTCACTCAAAATCTCACGATACATGGCCCCATTCATTCTTTCCTTTACACAGATCAGTCGTCCTGGTCCCTTTGCAGAAAAACAGCCCCAAAGCATGATGTTTCCACCCCCATGCTTCACAGTAGGTATGGTGTTCTTTGGATGCAACTCAGCATTCTTTGTCCTCCAAACACGACGAGTTGAGTTTTTACCAAAAAGTTCTATTTTGGTTTCATCTGACCATATGACATTCTCCCAATCCTCTTCTCGATCATCCAAATGCACTCTAGCAAACTTCAGACGGGCCTGGACATGTACTGGCTTAAGCAGGGGGACACGTCTGGCACTGCAGGATTTGAGTCCCTGGCGGCGTAGTGTGTTACTGATGGTAGGCTTTGTTACTTTGGTCCCAGCTCTCTGCAGGTCATTCACTAGGTCCCCCCGTGTGGTTCTGGGATTTTTGCTCACCGTTCTTGTGATCATTTTGACCCCACGGGGTGAGATCTTGCGTGGAGCCCCAGATCGAGGGAGATTATCAGTGGTCTTGTATGTCTTCCATTTCCTAATAATTGCTCCCACAGTTGATTTCTTCAAACCAAGCTGCTTACCTATTGCAGATTCAGTCTTCCCAGCCTGGTGCAGGTCTACAATGTTGTTTCTGGTGTCTGACAGCTCTTTGGTCTCAGCCATAGTGGAGTTTGGAGTGTGACTGTTTGAGGTTGTGGACAGGTGTCTTTTATACTGATAACAAGTTCAAACAGGTGCCATTAATACAGGTAACGAGTGGAGGACAGAGGAGCCTCTTGAAGAAGAAGTTACAGGTCTGTGAGAGCCAGAAATCTTGCTTGTTTGTAGGTGACCAAATACTTATTTTCCACCATAATTTGCAAATAAATTCATTAAAAATCCTACAATGTGATTTTCTGGCATGTTTTTCTCTCAATTTGTCTGTCATAGTTGACGTGTACCTATGATGAAAATTACAGGCCTCTCTCATCTTTTTAAGTGGGAGAACTTGCACAATTGGTGGCTGACTAAATACTTTTTTCCCCCACTGTATCTCTAAAGCCCTAGTTGGTTTAGATAAACTATCAGCTGAAATGAAGAGCATGGCTGGAATGGAGGGAAACGGACTGTTCTCCTGGTTGGGGGAGTGGTTTGGTAAGTATGCTGCACTGGTGGTTACTGGATTTCTGACCCTAGTAGTTGTGTTTCTAATATTAATGTGCTGTGCTGCCTGTGTAATTCCTTGTCTGAGAAAGTATGTTACAGATGCCGTGCATGCTGCGGGTATGATGCCCCTCCTAGGGGCTCAAGAAGGAGATGCAGACACTGAGATGGGGTTGACAAAGGATGACCCTTAGTTTGATATTGGTGAGGTGGTGGAGTGACACCCTAGTGGGTGTCTAAAGGGGGAATCAAAATTCCCTGTTTGTGTTTTTATGTTTTATAAATCCATTTGAACTATTGTGAATGTTTGTCTTTCCTTAGGTGAAGGTTTGAAGTTCCTGGGTGGCTGGTAGCCAACCTAGTACAAGTTAGGTGTAGATGGAAGGACTGAAGGCCTTTTTATTATCATTATTGCCTATTAATAAAAGTGTGATTATTTTTGTTTGTATTGTATTTTAATGAGTGACCCTAGTGGGTGTCAAAAGGGGGAATCTTAAATTTCCCTGAAATTTCTTATTTTGGGTTCACACCCAGCGGGTGTGAAAAGGGGGATTGTGGGGATCTATTTTCTTACAACTAGATGTGATGCCTAGCATAGAAAGAATACATTAATGATTAAACATAATAGGTTTGTGCTGTACTGATATAGATTGTTTAACATAACAAGCTGTGATTAATGTGAGGAACCGTTAGGGGGTAGGCTGAGACAGACTTGTGACTCACACACACACTGCCTCTTTGTTAAACCGCTCAAGGACATGTGTTCCGTCTCCCGAGTGGCGCAGTGGTCTAAGGCACTGCATCGCAGTGCTAGCTGTGCCACTAGAGATCCTGGTTCGAATCCAGGCTCTGCTGTAGCCGGCCGCAACCGGGAGACCAATGGGGCGGCGCACAATTGGCCCAGCGTTGTCCAGGGTAGGGGAGGGAATGGCTGGCAGGGAGGTAGCTCAGTTGGTAGAGCATGGCGTTTGCAACGCCAGGGTTCTGGGTTCGTTTCTCACGGGGGGCCAGTATGAAAAGAATAATGTATGCACTAACTGTAAGTCGCTCTGGATAAGAGCGTCTGCTAAATGACGTAAAATGTAAATGTAAAATTTAAAGAAGAACAAACTATGTCTGAGGTTGCTGACTCGAGACAAGTTGTAAAGATAACAACTAATGCCCGGCAACAGTGAAGCACCAAGGGGCTGGGACCAGCCTGAGCGCCATTGATAGGTTGGGTAAGTTTAAACCACACCCAGCCTCTACTCTGACAGGCCCAGCAGGGAGGGGGAACCATCTCTGTCAGAGTATTTAAAGAAGAACTTATAACAATGGCTCAGTTCTCTGTCTGCCCTGCTTGGTTTTTCAGTGGGCCCATATATACGAACATCATATTTACCATTCAAGTGTTTGCATTAATTAAAATACTAGTCTATTTTAGAAGACGTGTATTGACCTCTTTTTGTTCCTATACCATATTTGAATTGACGCAACTTGACAATATCATCGGGTAGAACTTTTAAACAATGTTTTGTCTTCTATAAAACGTAGAAATGCGCCGTTTTCACGTATGTAGGTAGACACTGGTATTGTGCGGGAAATAATAAAAATGTCTTGCTTTAAGACGTAAAATAAGATGAAACGACTCAATATCGCAATCTGCCGGACTTTGGCTAGAACTCCAGAGAGAAACAACAAAAAAGTGAAAGCTATCCTAGGTAGATTAATTTCTCAAATAAAATACAAATGCAAACTTTTTAATTTCGCACATAATTGATTGCTACTTTATGACATGTCTAAACAGGAAACATTTTATTCACAGCACACCTCACCCTACCCTAGAAATGACTCTCGCTAGGACCTTGTGGCAGCCAAGCAACTCAAAAGCAAGCGAGCGGGTGGGTGTTCACTGTGCAGCTGAGGAATTGGAAGTGAAACTTACATGTAAACTGTCCATGCAAAAAATACCCTTGCAAATAATTTCACTGGATGGATGGTAGCTGTAAGTTCCTCCGTGGCAAGATGTTGCTCTGCCCACAGCAGTAAACGTCGACTTATGGTTTTTATCACCAGGTGGGTTGTAACTTCGTCGAATCATGCCCAGCTAGCTATAGCTTGAAAACTTGAGGCATGGTTAACTATCTAGCTAACTAAACAAAACAAATATTTGGCTAAACTGGCCAAGTTATATTTTGTCGTTGCTGTGTACTTTGCACGAGCTCTTGAACCTAGCTTATTTCTTCTAGCTAGGTAGTTCGATAGTAGACATCAAAATGATGTTGATGGGCCTTTCTTTTTTTACAGTTTGCCGAGATGGACTTGGACCGTCAGAAGTGTCGGGAGGGCATACAGAACGCCCTGGGATTCATACGGTGAGAAATAAAAATTTCCCTGCAATTCCCAAAAGTTCTCAACTAAATTGTAGCCAGTTGCTCTCTTACTTGACATTCATCCTACACCCACAAACGACCATACAGCACTAGTTCACTTGTATTGATAAGTTGATATATTTTCCTCTGTGTCCTAGGTCTTCCTTGCCTTATCCAGAGCCTGAAGGCTATAAGGTAGGGATTAATGAATGCGATGACTGTCTTCTCTCTTGACCTTAGTCTAGGCATGTCGACACACCCCCTAAACTGTTCCAAAGAATTTCAGGAAAGGAACATGTTGTGTGCTCACAGTCATGCAGCTTGCCCTTTGCAGAGATTTTCTCCATTTCACATTTGATCCATTATTGCCATTGGAAAATAGTACCAAAACCAGCCATAATACTGATTAGACACGTCCATGTCCTTTATGGCTTTTCCTGTGTACTGTCTTTATCTCATTCCCATGCCATATTCCTCTCCTCCTCTTCCCTCCAGGTGTTTCTGACCCAGTTGGTGTGTAACCTGCTGGATGAGGGGAATGCAATGTTCAGGGAGGGTGAGTGGCAGCAGGCCATAAAGGACTTCAGTGAGGGTGTTAATGTGGCCCACTATGCCCAGGCTGAGTCTCTGGAAATCCCCTCAGCCCTGATGGAGAGTCTGTATGTCAACAGGGCTGCAGCCTACCACAGCATGGTGAGTCAAGAGTGGTGTGTCACCAGGATTATGCATCTTTTGATCCACAATATGGATGATTGAATGAGGTTCACGATTCTGTATGCAAAAGGTATGACGTCATCTCTTAAATCTAATATTTAAGAGCAATTGTGTTGTAGGCAAATGTGCTGTAGTGGGCAAATATTGAACCAATGGTGAACACCCATTGCACTCTCTCTACTTCAGTATTTCGTGTTGCATCACATTGTTCTATTCCATCATGCGCAACGTGTTTCAGCCTCATCATTGAACTGTTGCCATCATGCCAAAAGTGATGTCAGACACTTCCTCAACATCCCCTTGAAGATACAGTTCACCTATCATTACCCCCATTCTCATTAGCCTGTATTAACCACTGTATGGCCTTAGTCTTTCACTCTGTGGCAGGACCCACACCTTACCTGTCATCTCTTTCTCTCCATCTTTCTCTCAGGGGCAGTATGAGCAGGGTGTGCAGGACTGTGACAGTGCCCTGGCGCTGTGCAAAGACAGTTGCAGGGCACTCTACAGGAAGGCTCTATGCCTGAAGGAGCTGGGCCGTTTCAGAGAGGCCTACAACTGCAGCACGGGCTGCCTGCTCACTACACCGAACGTGAGCAACGTTACGAATTACCCTTCAAATCAGCGGTTGTTTGCTTGGAGTAGAAAAGCATGCACACATTTAAAAACAATATGCTTGGCCTCCCGAGTGGCGCAGTGGTCTAAGGCACTGCATCGCAGTGCTAGAGGCGTCACTACAGACCCAGGTTTGAACCAGGCTGTATCACAAACGGCCGTGACCGGTAGTCCCATAGTGCGGCGCACCATTGCCCCAGCATCATCCGGGTTAGGGGAGGGTTTGGCCGGAGGGGCTTTACTTGGCTCATCGCGCTCTAGCGACTCCTTGTGGCGGGCAGGGCACCTGCAGGCTGACCTTGGTCGTCAGTTGAACAGTGTTTCCTCCGACACATTGGTGCGGCTGGCTTCCCGGTTAAGCGGGCGGGTGTTAAGAAGCGCGGTTTGGCGGGGTCATGTTTCGGAGGACGCATGACTTGACCTTCGCCTCCCGAACCTTTTTATCTATAAAATGTCTAGCACAACTAGCAACATTTCTTCTTACCACTTGACATACAGTTCAAGTCGGAAGTTTACATACACCTTAACCAAATTCATTTCATTTAAACTCAGTTTTTCACAATTCCTGACATTTAATCCTAGTAAAACTTCCCTGTCTTAGGTCAGTTAGGATCACAACTTTATTTTAAGAATGTGAAATGTCAGAATAATAGTAGAGAGAATGATTTATTTCAGCTTTTATTTCTTTCATCACATTCCCAGTGGGTCAGAAGTTTACATACACTCAATTAGTATTTGGTAGTATTGACTTTAAATTGTTTAACTTGGGTCAAACGTTTCGGGTAGCCTTCCACAAGCTTCCCACAATAAGTTGGGTGAATTTTGGCCCATTCCTCCTGACAGAGCTGGTGTAACGGAGTCAGGTTTGTAGGCCTCCTTGCTCATACACACTTTTTCAGTTCTGCCCACAAATTTTCTATAGGAATGAGGTCAGGGCTTTGTGATGGCCACTCCAATACCTTGATGTCGTTGTCCTTAAGCCATTTTGCCACAACTTTGGAAGTATGCTTGGGGTCATTGTCCATTTGGAAGACCCATTTGCGACCAAGCTTTAACTTCCTGACTGATGTCTTGATGTTGCTTCAATATATCCACATAATTTTCTTCCTCATGATGCCACCTATTTTGAAGTGCACCAGTCCCTCCTGCAGCAAAGCACCCCCACAGCATGATGCTGCCACCCCCGTGCTTCACGGTTGGGATGGTGTTCTTTGGCTTGCAAGCACCCCCCCTTTTCCTCCAAACATTACGATGGTCATTATGGCCAAACAGTTCTAATTTTGTTTCATCAGACCAGAGGACATTTCTCCAAAAACGAAGATCTTTGTCCCCATGTGCATTTGCAAACCGTAGTCTGGCATTTTTATGGCGGTTTTGGAGCAGTGGCTTCTTCTTTGCTGAGCGACCTTTCAGGTTATGTGGATATAGGACTCGTTTGACTGTGGATCTAGATACCTTTGTGCCTGTTTCCGCCAACATCTTCACAAGGTCCTGGTGCACCAAAGTACGTTCATCTCTAGGAGACAGAACGCGTCTCCTTCCTGAGCGGTATGACGGCTGCGTGGTCCCATGGTGTTTATACTTGTGTACTATTGTTTGTACAGATGAACGTCGTACCTTCAGGCGTTTGGAAATTGCTCCCAAGGATGAATCAGACTTGTGGAGGTCTACAATTTTCTTTCTGAGGTCTTGGCTGATTTCTTTAGATTTTCCCATGATGTCAAACAAAGATGCACTGAGTTTGAAGGTAGGCCTTGAAATACATCCACAGGTACACCTCCAATTGACTCAAATGATGTCAATTAGCCTATCAGAAGCTTCTAAAGCCATGACATCATTTTCTGGAATTTCCCAAGCTGTTTAAAGGCACAGTCAATTTAGTGTATGTAAACTTGGAATTGTGATACAGTGAAATAATCTGTCTGTAAACAATTGTGGAAAAATTACTTGTGTCATGCACAAAGTATGTCCTAACCGACTTACCTAAACTATAGTTTGTTAACAGGACATTTGTGGAGTGGTTGAAAAACGAGTTTTAGTGACTCCAACCTAAGTGTATGTAAACTTCCGACTTCAACAGTATGTATGTTGGGATTCCTCATCTGTAAACATCCTTTGCATGATGATGCGCTAATGGAGAAGGAGAGTCTCATTTCATGCAAGCGCATTTGTTTCCCCATTTTCCTCCTCTCCTCAATTACCTTTGATGTTTTTCAAAAGGTGGTGATAAAAAATGCGAGGGGGGGAGAGACCTCACACCATACTTTTACTGTATCATGTAGCTCAGAATAAGAGTTTTTTTTAAATTAGTTTAATAAAAAGCTTGTGTTGAAAATAATTAATGTATATTTTTTTTCTTCCCTTGTACTCTTCGTAGGACAAACATGTGTACGAGTTGGCACAGGAGTTAGCTAACAAACTGGGCCTGAAGATACGCAAAGCCTACATTAGCACACAGGTGAGAATCAGTTTCCAAAGCGGAAGGTCTAGATTAAAATAGCATGGCAAATTACGTTCCAGGATAAGTGGCTTGGATTCAATTGTTCTCAATCTGCCATTCTCTGATCAAATCTGCCATGAGCTGTTTATGCTTGGGTTTAAATCTCAATTTGAGTTCATAACAATTGAAGTCCATTAAGTTTGACATTTTCTTTAGGTTGCCACTTTATGGAGTTAATATTTGCTTCCTTTACAGAAGGAGTCGGCCACATCTGAGCAAAGTAATGGGAACACAGTTCCTTTTGCAGGGGAGGCAAGTACAACAACTTTCACCATTACACTTTAAAGTTGCACTGTGCAGAAATCGCTCCGTCATTTTCTGGTTGCTAAAACTAATAGTTTGCCTAATTATAAGATAGTGTAGAGAATCATTGTACCAGCTAAACTGCTCTGAAATATATTTTCCATAACCAAAATTATTGTTTCAGCTGTTTGAAGCTGGTGTACAAAACCGAAAGTAAAAGACGCAAAAAACTTAAGAAAAGGAAGCATAAAAATAGCGCACATAAACTCAGCAAAAAAAGAAACGTCCCTTTTTCAGGACCCTGTCTTCCAAAGATAATTTGTAAAAATCAAAAATAACTTCACAGACCTTCATTGTAAAGGGTTTAAACTATGTTTACCATGCTTGTTCAATGAACCATAAACAATTAACGAACATGCACCTGTGGAACGGTCGTTAAGACACTAACCGCTTACAGACGGTAGGCAATTAAGGTCACAGTTATAAAAACTTAGGACACTAAAGAGGCCTTTCTACTGACTCTGAAAAACACCAAAAGAAAGATGCCCAGGGTCCCTGCTCATCTGTGTGAACGTGCCTTAGGAATGCTGCAAGGAGGCATGAGGACTGCAGATGTGGCCAGGGCAATAAATTGCAATGTCTGTACTGTGAGATGCCTAAGACAGCGCTACAGGGAGACAGGACGGACAGCTGATCGTCCTCGCAGTGGCAGACCACGTGTAACAACACCTGCACAGGATCGGTACATCCGAACATCACACCTGCGGGACAGGTACAGGATGGCAACAACAACTGCCCGAGTTACACCAGGAACGCACAATCCGTCCATCAGTGCTCAGACTGTCCGTAATGGGCTGAGAGAGGCTGGACTGAGGGCTTGTAGGCCTGTTGTAATGCAGGTCCTCACCAGACAACAATGTCGCCTATGGGCACAAACCCACCGTCGCTGGACCAGACAGGACTGGCAAAAAGTGCTCTTCACTGACGAGTCGCGGCTTTGTCTCACCAGGGGTGATGGTCGCATTCGCGTTTATCGTCGAAGGAATGAGCGTTACACCGAGGCCTGTACTCTGGAGCGGGATCAATTTGGAGGTGGAGGGTCCATCATGGTCTGGGGCGGTGTGTCACAGCATCATCGGACTGAGCTTGTTGTCATTGCAGGCAATCTCAATGCTGTGCGTTACAGGGAAGACATCCTCATCCCTCACGTGGTACACTTCCTGCAGGCTCATCCTGACATGACCCTCCAGCATGACAATGCCACCAGCCATACTGCTCGTTCTGTGCGTGATTTCCTGCAAGACAGGAATGTCAGTGTTCTGCCATGGCCAGCGAAGAGCCCGGATCTCAATCCCATTGAGCCCAGATCCCCCCCCTTAGTTCAGGGACACATTATTCAATTTCTGTTAGTCACATGTCTGTGGAACTTGTTCACTTTATTTCTCAGTTGTTGAATCTTGTTATGTTCATACAAATATTTACACATGTTAAGTTTGCTGAAAATAAACGCAGTTGACAGTGAGAGGACGTTTCTTTTTTTGCTGAGTTTAGAACCGATCTATCGCTTCTTAGACTTGCTTTCAAGTAGAATGATTGATCTATTACCAAATTTCTATGTGAATTTAGTCGGGCCACCCAAAAAGTTACATATTGCCACTTAAACTGGTTGAGATTTGGAATGTACTTTGGTTTACCTGTTGATTTATTGTCAATTAAACAGAAGCTGTTGTCTTTTTCTCTTTTTACCTCAAGATGTATGGCAGTGGTCTGGATTCCTTAAGTGACATCTCATCAGGTAGAAATTCTACTGACCCAGAAATGTTGAATTACCTATCACATTGTAATGTAAAGACTATCAAAGAAGATGTGTCAGATGTAGCAATAACAATTTGAATAACTTAAAGAAAATAAAACCCACCTGTTCCCTCTCCTCTCCCTGTCTTTCAGTTGGCTTCTCCTACAAGCCTGTATCTGCCGCTATCCCAGTTAGTCCGATGAATCCTCTCCCCCTCCCTCTGGTCCTCTGGTCTACTCCAAACTTCTGGGTAGACCTGTCCAAGGCCCCCGGGGGTTGCCCTTCTCGGTGCCTGAGTCAGAGCACCTGGGTGACAGTGAGCTGATGGGAGATGATCTAGACAGCCTGCTGGACTGTCTCCATGACGAACCAGAGGTTAGTGACGTGAGTTTGTGTCTACTGGTCGATATAGTATTCTGATATAGCTTCCCTGAATCTGTCAATGCAACTTTTCATTCTCTCCTTCCCTTCTCATTCAGATTCCCCCTCAACGTGACTTTCCCACCTTCCTCCCCAGCTCAGGCTGTGTCCCCATCCAGCTCCCGTTTCCCTCAGGCCTGCCTGCCCCCTCACCCCGGCTCCCACCAGCCTTCTTCAACTCAGCCATCAGCCTGCTCAACTCTCTGGACACCTTCCCAGGCATTGGTGGGCGGGATGCCCTGGGTGCGCTGGACTCTTTAGATGGCCTGGATGCACTAGACTCCCTAGATGCCTTAAACAACCTGGACAACCTTTCAGGCCTTGGTGGTGGGGATGCCCTGGCTCCCACAACAGCACTCGATTCACTTGATGCCCTGGACAGTTTCTCCCCACTTGGGGGCGCAATAGCAGCCAAACCAGTAGTGGTGGGGGGAGGGGGGCTGGACTCCCTCTCGGAGTTCAACCAGCCTGGTGAGTGGATTGAGGGTGGTAGTGTCTTGTTAGCTTATACCAATGTATACATGGTTCATTTTACTTTTGAATGTTTATAACCAAGAAAGTTATGAACCTAATGTAGTTGTTTATAATAGATTGTTCTCTCTTTTTTGTTCTCACACTATCTTAAGGTGCAAGAATCTCCCACAATATTCTCTCTGCAACACGTTCACCCAAGAAGTCCAACCACACAGTAAGCCATTTATTTCTGTCAGCAGAATTTGTTGGACTAAGCACACTGTGTACATTTTAAATTAAACATTTATGCAATGTTTCGGTCACATAGAACTTTATCAGTGGAGCTCACCTTTTACAGCATCATGCTAGTTTTGCCTTGACATATTAACCTAAATTAATTATTATTACCATGGCGATGTAGGTGGTAAAGAATGGCCAGGTCTCCTCCAAGCTCTCTCTGCTGACCAAGAATACCGTAGCAGCCACCCATGACTTCAAGCAGGCCTGTTCCATGTGCTACAGCTGGATAGGTACAGTAGTGGACATGATAAACTCCCTCTCAGACGGTGTCCCTCCCCCAGTTTACTTCTTAATGTTTCTTTTTTTTTCTCCCCAATTTCATGATATTCAATTGGTAGTTACAGTCTTGTCCCATCGTTGCAACTCCAGTACGAAATCAGGAGAGGCAAAGGTCAAGAGCCATGTGTCCTCCGAAACACGACCCCGCCAAGCCGCACTGCTTCTTGACACACTGCTCGCTTAACCCGGAAGCCAGCCGCACCAATGTGTCGGAGGAAACACCGTATAGCAGGCGACCGAAGTCGGTGTGCATGCGCCCGGCCCGCCACAAGGAGTTGCTAGAGCACGATGGGACAAGGACATCCCGGCCGGCCAAACCCTCTCCTAACCCAGATGACGCTGGGCCAATTGTGCATTGCCTCATGGGTCTCCCGGTCGTGGCCGGCTGCGACACAGCCTGGGATCGAACCTGGGTCTGTAGTGACGCCTGTTGCACTGCGATGCAGTGCCTTAGACTGCTGCGCCACTTGGGAGGCCCCCTACTTCTAACTAATAAGACTGACATTTGCAAGACCACCATAGCACCGAGGTTCACCTCTCTATTTTTATTTAGCTAATTCTATGTCCCCCTTAACGCCCCTCCCTTTCTCTGTCTCTCAGGTCCAGGGGTCCTGGACTACCTGCACCAGGCAGAATTGGCCCACCGTTGTAAGCGGGACATTCTTCTGTGCAGGATCAGGGCTTCAGGGCACCCAGTCTGGAACAGGGTGCGACCCCGCCCCACGAACAACTTTACTGGGCCGTTTATGCTCTGCAAGGGTACGGAAAACAACAGTCACTGGTGTGGGAAAGAGGTTCTGTTTAGATGAATATAATGTGTGTGTGTCATAGGTCAAATTACCTAGTCGTTTTAATCTGGAAAAAGGGTCCTAAAGGTTAGCGTTTGTTTGAGTTTGTATATAGTTCCTTCCCTCTGTGCAGAGGTGCTGGAGACTCAGAAGTGTAAGTACGGGGAGGGATGTACATTTGCCTACTGCCAGGAGGAGGTAGATGTGTGGACCCTGGAGAGGAAGGGAGCCCTGAACAGAGAGCTGCTGTTTGACCCGCAGAGCCCCAACAATGACAGGCCCACACTCGGCATCACATGCCTGCTGCAGCTCCACAACGGCATGTTCATGTACCTCTGTGAGGTAGGGGACACACACAGTTGCATACACATCTCCATATGTCCAAGCTTGACCAGTGAAACATGGTAGAGGGCTGCGGGTCCCAACAGAGATCATTGCGGGCGGTCAGACAGACGACTTTGGGATGAAAATATTTTTGCTGTCCCGCAGATTATTTGGAAACGGTCGTCTTTCTGCTTTGTTGGGCGTGCGAGTTCAAGTGCGCCTAGTATGTGTGGTCTCATTGAAATAGAGTAGGCTGCCTACATGGGTGGAGAATCACGTGGCCGTTAACTTTAAATATGAAATTAACTTAAACATGATTAGACTGTAGCTTACTACAGTGTCTGTAAATAAATATTGATAATGGAAAGAAGTGGAGGGCGCTCAACCAAGGTGAGACGAGGTGCAATAAAAATGGGATGAAGAAATCAGTCCCTGCAGACCTCCAAAACATGCCATTCAACCTTACTCCAGCTCCCCCCTACTTCTTGTCTCTGTTTACCTCCACTTTCCCCCTCTCATTCTTTCCCTCCCTCTCTCTCTACTCAGGAGTGCTATGACAGTAAGCCCAGGATCATCAGTAAGCGCAGTAAGGAGGTGCCGTCCATCTGCTCCAACCTCTCCGCCCGACACCCATTCGACAAAAAGAAGTGAGTCACGTTTGCCTCCCTCTCTCTCTCACTCACACACTCACACTCACGCTCACTCTTCCCCCTTCTGTGCCCTGCAGGTGCCTGGTGCATGCTGTGAGGTCCAGCAGCGTGCACTACACTAAGATCCGCCCACTGTATACCCAGTGCCAGTTGGACGTGTGCCGCCATGCCCGGCGCTACGGCTGCCAGCGAGAGGACAGCTGCTCCTTTGCCCACTCTGTCATAGAGCTCAAGTGCTGGATGCTGCAGCAAGACTCCGGTACAGTCAGATTGATGCACATTAATGTACTTGGTCTCAGACACAGAGAGACATATTTATTCCTGTCTAAGAAATGTGAAAACATTTTTAAATGTAGAGGCCAATCTACAATAAAACATCTTTATTTTTAAATGTTAGTTTCTATACTAAAAGTCAGGAAAATTTCAACAAAGTCCAGTAGGTGTCAGTAGACACTGCGGTTCAATCTTGTCACAGTTGATAAACACTGTCTGTAAATACTGTCTGTAAAAAGTGATGCCAAGGCTCGACTAGGCATCACTTTCTGTGTATGTGCCTGTTCTATAGGCATCACTCATGAAGAAATTGTGCAGGAATCCAAGCGACACTGGCATAAACAGGAGCAGAACACACACAAACCCAAGGTATAAAATCCCTGCTATGCTACATCTCATAATATGGTGAGGCAACCGCTCCTGTGTAGTTTGTCTGATTCTCTCTACCTTTGCCTCTCTCTGTTTTTGTCCCTGTGACTCGTTGACTATAAGCCTGTGTACATGCCACCACCATCTTCATCCCCAAGTGGTGGTGGGGACACCTGTAGAGGTGGGGGAGGAGGCAATAGCTTGAACCTGAAGAGGAAGTTTGTATGTGGTCAGTGCTGGAGGGACGGGCTGGTCAGCGAGCCGGACAAAGCGCTTAAGTACTGTACAGCCAAGGCCAGGCACAGGTGAGGCTGCACCCTACCTAGCATCCCTAGCCAGATGGAGGCCAGAAAATGGGTGAGGTAGTGCTCCACTGTAGTATGCAACAGTTCCATGTGACTGACCACTGTTATTCACTATTGTGTATCAAATGGCCAATGTATGTTAGATGTGTAGTCTGAGATATCTGTGTTGGTGTTTTTGAATATCAATAGAGAATGTTCATCTTGGGGACAAAAACCAAAGTGTATGGAACATTTACAGCGAAGCCCTATGTCATTTAGGATAGTATCTTTCTGGCAAGTCCACCATAACGTTCACATCTCTCTCTTTCTCTCTCTCCCTGTAGTTGGACGAAGGAGCGTCGGGTGCTGTTGGTGAAGTCCTTTGAAGGAAAGAAGTGGGTGATGGTGCGGACGTTGCCTTTTGCCAAGACCTACCCCCAGCAGTATGATGTGTGTGCTGCCCCCTGCTACTCAAACACTACTTGCTAGAAATTATTTTTGATAGACTCAACCAAGCATATTATCAATGTGTCTATTTAAACTTATAATTAACTATTATGTTAGTGTGTGCTCATGGGTAACGGTATATATTGGTCAGTTGAATTTAATACTTAATAATTGACACTGTGCAAACTTGTTTCCACAAACATCCTTGTAGTCTGTGTGTAACGGCAAAACGTGTCCCCCTCAGATATGTGCCCACGTGGTGAAGCAGAAGAAGTGCCACTACATTGGGAACTGTGCCTTCGCCCACAGTGAAGAGGAGAAGCAAGTGTGGACCTATATGAAGAACAATGGCTGTACGTTTACACTATGTTTTCGTTATCCATTCAACCTTTTGCTCCACATTATCGCCTCTGTTTACTTTGATCTATGAGCAGGATTGGTTCAGATGCTTATTATCCCCACCTGTACACATTAGTATTGTTACTTACATTCCTCTTTGAACCTGTTCCTAAAGTGAAGGATATGCAGCAGTTGTACGACATGTGGCTTACAATGACGAATCAAAACCGTCAGCCGGATGACCCCCTGATCACCCAACCCATAGAGGAGAAGCAAATCGCCATGCCAACCGACTATGCCGAGCCAATGGTGAGTAAAGGCACTTACTCACAAAACCTGTTTGTTGGATGTAGAACGCAAACAATACATTCCCCTTTCTCATTTGTAAAAGCTATCTAACACTATCAAGATGGACTACATTTTGATAGTGTGTGCATGCATGTTCGTGCAATGCAATGTGTGCGTATGTCAGTGTTTATGAATGCTTAACGTACCATGAGATAAGTTTCACTGTGCGTGTGTGTTCTAGAGCGGCTTCCACTGTCGTCTGTGTGGGAAGCATAGTAACAGCGAGCGCCAGTGGCAGCAGCACATCTCCGCAGAGAAACACAAGGACCGTGTATTCAGCTGCGAGGGAGAGGACGAGAGCCTGACCTGGACATACCGCTTCCCTGGACTCCGTCTCGCCCTTTGCCCCAGGTAACACTCACCCAGGGGAGGGTCTCAATAGTGTAGTGCCTTTCTCATTACCCGTCATGAGATGCTCTGTATATGCACACAGAAAACAACTGGGATATGGCAAGGTTCACTTACCACATCCTTATCCTATTTGTTCCTATCAAATTTTATCGGTGCACAGTGATTGACGTATGTAAAATATAGATCAATGTGATTGACAGGCTGGAGAGTGGCTGTCCCGAGGGGGTGAGTTGTGACTACGCCCACAGTGATGAGGAGCTGGTGGAATGGCAGGAGAGGCGGGAATTCCTGCGGCGGAAGCTGGCCAAGGCCCGTGAAGACATGCTCATCATGCCAGACGAGTTTGACTTTGGGAAGTACAACTTTCTCCTGCAGGACTGAAGCCCCTGTCCCCTATGTGAGACACTTGCACCTGTAAACAGACAGCAGTCCTCTGTTTTGTTGAAAATCCTGGGGGTGTATTTTCTTCATTAGTTCTGTATTAGTTAACGGTTAATACAGTTTTATACCTGTTTGAGCTGGTTAGGACTGCAAGTGCCTTATTTGTTCACTTACCATAAAAAGCAGTAATAAAGAAGTTACTCCTAGACCCACTAATTCAAAGACAGACTGAACTTTTAACTCATTCACAACTTGTCACAACTCAGAAGGGATTAACTACTTGAACCTTTAGCCAAACATGTTATTTCATTTTCAAAAGGGCTTGGTTCTGAAATTGTTGCCGCCACTCCAAAAAATATGATTAAACATTTTCGGGGAGGTAAAATGTTTTCAGTGTAAACATAAACAACTAAAACCAGAAAGTATGTAGAAAATATATCATGGAGCTATATATTTTTTTAATGAAATCATTTAAGAACAACCACCAAAATAAAAACTAGATAGTCAGGGAAATTCTAAAATTCAAAGAATGTCATGGCATGGAGCCACCAATTTAGATTTTGAGTCACTCCAATAACATAAGAACATGGCGTAAACCATGGCAAAATGTGTAGAATTCTGGAAAATTTGCTTTAAAACTGCACATTTTCTGTGTGGTCCCAGCGGCACACGTATATGCCGGAGTCGGCATGGGTTTGAAACCGTCCCACTGCCCTTTGACTCCCCCTCCCCCTATCTTCCCCATCTTTCACATTGTACTATCTCTTCAATAAAGCAAAAATTACTAAAGGAATGGGACTGCCACACTCCTTCAAAAACAAAAAAATAAATTACTTAAACTGCTAATTTTCTCTCAGCCCCATGATAAAATGTTTGGAATTGAAGGAAACTAGCTTTTAAAACAGTAAAACTTTCTCCCCGCCCCATGACAAAAAAAAATACAATTTGTCTCTGCGGCCGAGAGGAGGGCCTCTACAATTTGCGGTCGGACTCTACCACACATTTTACATTTTAGTAATTTAGCAGACGCTCTTATCCAGAGCGACTTACAGTTAGTGAGTGCATACATTTCTTTTTTCTTTTTTTTATACTGGCCCCCCGTGGGAATTGAACCCACAACCCTGGCGTTGCAAGCGCCATGCTCTACCAACCACACCTACCACTACTGGTTAAATAGATTGAGGATGCTAACTAAGGCCTTACCTGTGGGGATATACACTGCTCAAAAAAATAAAGGGAACACTTAAACAACACAATGTAACTCCAAGTCAATCACACTTCTGTGAAATCAAACTGTCCACTTAGGAAGCAACACTGATTGACAAGACATTTCACATGCTGTTGTGCAAATGGAATAGACAACAGGTGGAAATTATAGGCAATTAGCAAGACAACCCCAATAAAGGACTGGTTTTGCAGGTGGTGACCACAGACCACTTCTCAGTTCCTATGCTTCCTGGCTGATGTTTTGGTCACTTTTGAATGCTGGCGGTGCTTTCACTCTAGTGGTAGCATGAGACGGAGTCTACAACCCACACAAGTGGCTCAGGTAGTGCAGCTCATCCAGGATGGCACATCAATGCGAGTTGTGGCAAGAAAGTTTGCTGTGTCTGTCAGCGTAGTATCCAGAGCATGGAGGCGCTATCAGGAGACAGGCCAGTACATCAGGAGACGTGGAGGAGGCCGTAGGAGGGCAACAACCCAGCAGCAGGACCTCTACCTCCGCCTTTGTGCAAGGAGGAGCAGGAGGAGCACTACCAGAGCCCTGCAAAATGACCTCCAGCAGGCCACAAATGTGCATGTGTCTGCTCAAACGGTCAGAAACAGACTCCATGAGGGTGGTATGAGGGCCTGACGTCCACAGGTGGGGGTTGTGCTTACAGCCCAACACCGTGCAGGACGTTTGGCATTTGCCAGAGAACACCAAGATTGGCAAATTCGCCACTGGCGCCCTGTGCTCTTCACAGATGAAAGCAGGTTCACACTGAGCACATGTGACAGACGTGACAGAGTCTGGAGACGCCGTGGAGAACGTTCTGCTGCCTGCAACATCCTCCAGCATGACCGGTTTGGCGGTGGGTCAGTCATGGTGTGGGGTGGCATTTCTTTGGGGAGCCGCACAGCCCTCCATGTGCTCGCCAGAGGTAGCCTGACTGCCATTAGGTACCGAGATGAGATCCTCAGACCCCTTGTGAGACCATATGCTGGTGCGGTTGGCCCTGGGTTCCTCCTACTGCAAGACAATGCTAGACCTCATGTGGCTGGAGTGTGTCAGCAGTTCCTGCAAGAGGAAGGCATTGATGCTATGGACTGGCCCACCCGTTCCCCAGACCTGAATCCAATTGAGCACATCTGGGACATCATGTCTCGCTCCATCAACCAATGCCACGTTGCACCACAGACTGTCCAGGAGTTGGCGGATGCTTTAGTCCAGGTCTGGGAGGAGATCCCTCAGGAGACCATCCGCCACCTCATCAGGAGCATGCCCAACTCATTTTGACTTGTTTTAAGGACATTACATCAATGTTGGATCAGCCTGTAGTGTGGTTTTCCACTTTAATTTTGAGGGTGACTCCAAAAAAATAATCGATAGAAAGTGGGAAGTGGTATGTTTCCTACTATGCAAACAAAGTCAGTGGGCTGGATCCTGGTGATTTGCCATAGGTCAGCGTTTTCCAAACTCTGTGAACGTTTTGGTTTTTGCCCTGATTCAAATTATCGAAGTTGAATGATTAGTTGATTATTTGAATCAGATGTGTAGTGCTAGGGCAAAAAACAAAACGTGCACCCCTTGGGGTACCGAGGACCAAGTTTGGGAAACCCTGCCATAGGTTTTGTCCTGGATTAAATAATTATAATCGAGAGTGAATTTCGTTGACCTTCATCACATCCATCTATGTCATTTAGCTGACTGCACCACAATATATCAGCCTATATTGTTTGATAAGGACAGGCAGTTTAATCCTAGCTGGCTAGAAACAGTTCTTGAAACTGAAGTGCCCCCTCTAAAAGCCATCAAAATGACCCCTTTATAAAAGTGCACCCTTGTCAAACACTATTCACACTGCGCTCATGACCACACACTATTTTACTGTAGCTGCCATACTGATTGACCAGATGGTTAGAGACAGCAGTGTTTGTGCATTTCATTTCCAACATCATGGGTTTATGGTAAGAATGAGTTGTATACTAGACCTGAGAAAACAAAAACGACTGTTTATTTTGTTTGAGCTATTGACCAAATCTGACATGTTAAATAAAACCATTTTTGAGAGGGAATGGATCCATTATCCTTTTTTACTGTTATTGAGAATTATTTTCTTACTTATTTATTGTAATTTATTACACAACTATAACACTACTACTGACCAAGGTCTTTTATCTTATCAAAGGACACTTTTATTTTTATATATATTACATTACTGTAGAAATCTATTGTGTTCTGGTTAGTGTGGTTCAAGTCAATGAGGTTCAAGCAGAGGGTAAATGATTTCCACCTTCAGATCTTGTTCATGATGTGCTGTTTAGTGTCCCGATTGCTTGTGGGTGCGTGGTGAGATGCGGGTTTCGCACGTTTGTGGTCGAATACACACACCTGCTCCCAACTTGTAATTGGCTGATGGGTATGATTGACAGCCCATACAGCAAACCGAAACTCTGGATAAATTGAACTATTAGTATCATTGGTCTTTCACAGAGAATGTTCTATATTCATAACGCTAGTAGGCGTGGCTACTGAAATCAACAACTTGCCCACATCCTCGTGACATGATTAGAAGTTCTTGCAAAGTGTTTATCAGACAGAGTAAGGCAAGTTTTGTTCCTGAAGTCTTCAGAGCCCTGATGGAGTTCTCGTTTTCCATTGACAACGATAATTGCAATCGGTTTGTGAATTTGTTATACCTTTGCTATTCTCTTCAACACATTTGTGACGGATAGAAACATATTTGTCTCGAAAGAGGGTAACTTGATGTCATTGACGTTAGCTATATCCATTCAGTAATGTTTTAACAGTCAAATTTCAATTGCGTTCTGCAACTTCCTTGTGTTGCTAACTAAATGGACTAATGCGATGTAATTGAAATAAAAACTTTGCAGCATGTGCAACATCTTCAATTGCTTACACTTTAGTTACTGGCTGCCTGGGTTTGTTATCAACCTTGTCGATGTCCTTTTTTTTTTTACAAAACGAACATTTACATTTTCATGTCTTGACGAACTGCATTGGCTGATTGATACTGTAACACACTTGCTGCCAGCAAATATAACTTAGCATATTATGAAGTGGTAGAGGTTTCTTGTGAGACTTTGTAGTCAGTGTCACAACATATTTTGTTACATTCGTTTCTAAAGTAGAAATGTGTCATTCATCTCCTTGTTTTCTTAAATGTTTGTGAATATTTTTGACTGAACTGCCTTGTGGTCCAAAAATATGACCACCCATGGTTATATGCTAACAGGAACTGGGATGAGAAAAATGTTGGCCAACTGTAAGGCGTCACAAGGATGGTAGGCATTCCTTCCACCTGTAGCTTAGAATTCGCTTCATTGGACCACTTCTGAATTGAGCGTGTCACTGGTTCTTGCTGTTTAGATTTTTTTAAACTCAATTTATGGAAAGAACAAGCTATTTGTAAACGCAGACAGCAAAATGATTATGAGATGTTCACTGTGAATCACCAATGCCATGCCAAATTCCTGTGGCACAAAACACTGTCTGGGGTGAGAGCTCTGATGTATAGACTGTGACCACCATTTGCCTCATGCAGCGAGACACATCTCCTTCGCATAGAGTTGATTTTGGCCTATGGAATGTTGTCCCACTCCTCTTCAATGGCTGTGCGAAGTTGTTGGATATTGGCGGGAACTGGAACATGCTGTCGTACTAGTCGATCCAGAGCATTACAAACATGCTCAATGGGTGACATGTCTGGTGAGAATGCAGGCCACGGAAGAACTTGGAAATGTTCAGCTTCTAGGAATTGTGTACAGATCCTTGC